ACACACTCATACTGAGTGGACCCGTGAAGATCCGGGGTAGAATAGGTCTTCAGCAACACATGCTTGCCACAAAAGGCGACTCCACTTGTCGTAAGAGTCGACTAACGGGATCGGGTGGTCAGGCTCGCTGAGTTGGTTGACACATGTCATCGGTTCCCAATTGCGCGTATCGATGCTCATGCTGTTGATCACTGCATTGTCTGGTCCGGATTCGATTATTTACAGACCGCTGCCATATAGCTGGAATAATGCTGAGTGCGGCGTAAAACTCAACTCACTCACTCACTCATACTGAGTGTGTGTATGTAAAGTTTTACAATAAGTGAAGATCGGTTAGAATTGGCCTTAGAGACCCATGTTTGTGGCAGGATGCTTAAATGGGATTAGGTGGTCAGCCTCCACCTGGTCATATCCAAATTACGTAGATCGATGCTCATGATGTCAATCACTGGATCTCTGGTCCAGACATCATCATTTACAAACTGACGTCATATAACTGGAATAAAGCTGAGTGTAACAATGAAAGATAGGTTTTACCACTCTTTGCAATATTCCAGCAATATCACAGCAGGGGACACCAGCATTGTGATTCACACATTGTACACATGTGGGGAATCGAACCCAGGTTTTCAGAGTGAACACTTTATCCACTAGGCTACCCCACCAACCCCATACAAAGTGTAACTCTCTACAAGAGTGCTCCAGCCATGTGGATGATCAAGGCAGTGAAGCTGAGTGCGGGGTAAAACTAAACTCACTCACTCACTCAAGGCCATGAAAGTGAGTTTTACACTGCTTTTAGCAATATTCCAGCAATATCTCAGTGGGGAACACCAGAATCAAACTCGGGTCTTTGGCGTGACGAGCGAACGCTTTAACCACTAGGCTACCCCACCGCCCCCAAGGCCATGAAAGAACAAGCTCTTTATCTGCATAGATTGTCCCTAAAGTCGATGAATGTGAGCGGACAATGAGAAACATGTCAAGGCATACAGTCAGATACATAGTCCATCATGATGTGGCAGGTTGTCATCATGGAACAGCCAATCAGGAAGTGTTGTTTTCCGTGTCTCACGGTGCTGATTGACGTTAACTATCGCTCATAACAGGCACGAGAAGCACCTGTTGACACATCTTGATTAACACTCATGAACTGTGCCATGTCTCCGGTCAATGATATGTGATTCTGGGGTCGCAGTTGATGATGTTGGGTGTGACAATTCATCATTAGTTGTGAGGTGATGTCTGTAAGACCTATTTCCTGGGATTAATTATCGGGTGTCATCTGACCGAGAATGCTTGCAATGGTTTATGTTTTGTTCCTGAAGTGAGCCAAGTTGAACGTACATAGTGATTGATGTCACTGTTGGTGATGAGCTGAAGGATGGTGTTTAGGGGCAGGAAGCTAGTACATAGTAGTGGTTATACTAAACATTACCCTCATCATAACTGTTAACCTTAAAGCACCTCATAGGCAGCTTGGGTTATCCAGGGTAATAATGCGTTAGCACCTTGAGCATGCACAAGTGTGTGGAAACAGACACTTTATATATATCTATTGTCCGTTTGGCTCAAAAGCGGACCGATGAATTGCAATCTACCTCAAAACTTATAAACATAAAATACTCAATGAAACACTGATCATAATGAAAACGTCAGACCAACTCTGAGAGGTGTTTGCAGAATTTATGTCCTAAAAATAAAAAAGTTGTTTAACAAACTATCATTAAAATATCGACACAGTTCACTATTTGTTACGAGGGAGGAGTGCAGAGAGGGGACAGCCGGGTGTGCGCGAGAAAGGATGGAGACGGCACAGCACAGGTTAATGAATCAATAACTTTGTCGGCACTTGTGCACGTGCTTCTCTAACACCTGGCTGTCCCTTTCTCTGCACTCCTCCCTCGTAACAAATAGTGAACTGTGTCAATATTTTAATGATAGTTTGTGTGCCTCGGTGGGGGTAGCCTGGTGGTTATACCCGGGTTCAATCCTTTCAAATATTGCTAAAAGCGAAAATACTGTGTGTGGAAACAGACCAACCTGCCTAGAAAATACTGAGGTTCTGCACAGATTACTTTTATAGACTTAATGAGAATTTTTTTTAAATTAATCATTATATCTGCTTCTGTTTATAGAAAGTTACAAAAATAAGGAATGGTTGTATTTGTATTTTTGGTGTTAAATATTGTTGATTGATGTGTTTAGAACATACACTGGTGCAACCTGAAAAAAATACAACTTTATATTTCTACCTACTTGCACCTAGTGCAAGTGAATATTTTGCTGTGCAAAAATGTCATGAAAATTTATGAAGTAATATTACAATAATTTTATCAGTCTCAAATAATTTTATTATGATCTGCTAAATCAGGAATGCCAAAACTCAAGCATTGTATGTAATTTTATACTGAGGAGCAGGTGCAACCTGTGTTGGTCTCATGCAAAATGTTGTTAATACCTAAGGTTGCACCAGGTGCAACTTGGTTTCAGATTTGTAGTCAAGCTGGTAACTTGTGTGTCATTGTACTCTGGTCCAGTGTTCTCATACTAGTGGTGTTCGATTAATTGAAATAATCGAAGATTGGTCGAAGTGACCAAACGACCAAGCAATCGATCACATTTTCTCATAATCGAACACAAACGATTTTGGAACTGCTGTTTTAGTCTTTGAAACACTTGACGATGGAACATATCTTCGAAGTTGTCAGGGCCTGAAAACTTGTTTAATTCTTAGAAAACTCACTTCACTAACTGAAAAGTCATGAATGAATTTTTCTTGAAGACCCCAGAAGGTTTATGTTCATGATATATCAACATCACTTTAAAGTAGCAAGGTGCATCATGTTTTACATATCTGTAATTACAACCTGGATAGGAAAATCTGAAATTGATGCTAACCAATTTTTATCGATGATTGTTCGTTGGTAATGAAGCAATCATCAATTATGAGATTTCAACCAATTCCCAACACTATCTCATACTCAATAAATTGTCTGTTTAGTCAGGAAAATGATGCCCTCTTAGGTTTAATTATGGTTTTGGAATTGATGCCCTTTTTGGACATTATTGTTGGAACAAATTACAACTAGTCTTAAATTGCTTCAATGGTGACATTCTTGTATACTCTCTGTCGTGGTTCTGCTGATTATCGCGACCTGTGAAGATCCGGGTAGGAATTAGTCTTCAGCAACCCATGCTTGTTGTAAGAGTCGACTAACAGGATCGGGTGGTCAGGCTCGCTGACTTGGTTGACAGATGTCATCATATCCAAATATAGATCGATGGTCATGCTGTCGATCACTGGATTGTCTGATCCAGACTGGATTATTTACAGACCGCTGCCTTATAGCTGGAATATTGCTGAGTGCAGCGTTAAACAACAAACCAACCAACCAAGCTGTTTATCGCATTCAGGACAACTAGCATTTGGTCTGGGAACATGATGATGAAATATCCTTATCACTGATAGAAACCAGCAGAGGAGGAGCAGGTTTTCATTCAATTTATAAACCAAAGCACCTGAAACAATTTTACTCACACCATTGTATTTAGAAGAATGAACACTAGGAAATGGAGTTTATTTATCTCTTGCATGTTTTATCCCAAGCATGAAGGTTTTAACAACTGGTGGTGTTTTGTCTGAATTATGAACCAAATAAAACATAATTGATACGTTTAAATATGAATCAGTATTTATGTGTATCAAACATTCTTTTCACAAAGTCAGGAAATGCTTGCATGCAGGTACTTGAAAAAGAGATTCGTGATAGGGTTGTGATCCACATGGTTCCATTACTGAGTGGCAGATCCTTACGTTGCAAGGTGATCAGAGTCATTACAGAAAAAACATCAATTAATTAATTGTTCATTATAATGTATATTACCCTTTGATCAAAATACATGTTTAGCACAGAAGCTTGACATGACATAATGCTAATGGAAGTTGTATTAACAAAACCATGGGAATAACAAGGATATTATAACGTCTCTGTTTATGAGATTTAATCTGATTAGAGAAGAAAGGATTCCAGCTGTGGAAGCTTGCAATGAAATTGGGATATGGAACTTCTTGACTTTGTGTAGAATATTATTGGGACAGAGGTACTTTCTGCGGAATATTCTTTCTGCAGAATATTCCTTTATAGAAAATTCACAGAGATAGTACTTTCTGCAGAATATTCCTGGAATGGGTGGGGATGGGAAACAAGTTAGAATATTCATGTGGGCATATTCCAGAATATTCTTGGATAGATGTTTCCTTCCTAAAGTTGTGGAGTTTCATATCACAGGCTTCCACTTATAGGTCAATAGATGACTGAAGGTCAGCAGCGATGTTTGCAGAGAGGGATGGGGATGGGAAACAAGTTACATGTGGGCATATTCCTCATGTTTCTTCCTAAAGTTGTGAGGTGAGGTGAGGTGAAATTGGGTTTAACGTCGTGCTTGAGAATATTTTGCTCATATGACGACGTGCATGTATGTGTATGTGTATGTGCAGCTGCTTGTACTAGCCCAGACTTAAGCTGGTTTAATAGTGCTAGCCCACTGAGATACCATGCCGAGGTGAAGCATGAATATCCTACTCAGACACATTATACTGACTCCGAGCCAACCAAACCTTGTTGTACCCATTAATGCCGAGCGCCAGGCAGGGACCAACAAGTACCGTATTTTAACATCTTTTGGTATGACGCGGTCGGGGATCGAACCCGCGACCTTCTGCTCTCCGGGCGGACGCTCTAACCACTACACCACGGAGGCAGTCCCTAAAGTTGTAGGTTTGTTTCCATTGGGTCTAACTGTTATATTGTCAAGCCTGTTCTTAGAGTTTCTGACAAAGGGACCGATTCTAGTTGAATACACTGTTGTTTTCAGAATCTGTGAAATGAGATGAAAGTTTTTTCAGCACACACATTTTGCATCCATCAAGCAAATGGTTGTTTCCAGTAATTTCTCAAAAAATGTTTTCAGCTCAATTAAGTCCTTTGCTTTTGCAGCATCCTGTTCGCAGACATCTGTGGCTTCACGTCTCTGTCGTCTCAGTGCACAGCCCAGGAACTGGTGCAGCTGCTGAATGAACTCTTCGCTCGCTTCGACCGCCTCGCCGCGGACAACCACTGTCTGAGGATCAAGATCCTGGGAGACTGTTACTACTGTGTCAGTGGCCTCCAGGAGGCTCGGACCGACCACGCTCACTGCTGTGTGGAGATGGGGCTCGATATGATTGAAGCAATTGCGTAAGGATTCTTTTCTCTATCTGTGAGGGGGCGGTGGGGTAGCCTTGTGGTTAAAGCGTTCACTTGTCATGCCGAAGACCCAGGTTTGATTCCCCACATGGGTACAATGTGTGAAGCCCATTTCTGGTGTCCCCCGCCATGATATTGCTGGAATATTGCTAAAGTTGCGTAAAACCATCACTCATTCACTCATTATCTGTGATATATAGCATCAAAAGTTCTGTATGAGTATATATCACAGATAATGAGTAATGGTTTCAAAAGTTCTGTAAGAGTATTGATGCTCATGCTGTTGATCACTGGATTGTCTGGTCCAGACTCGATTATTTACAGACCACCGCCATATAGCTGGTATATTGCTGAGTGCGGCGTAAAATTAAACTCACTCACTCACTCTGTGAGAGTATTGCCAGATATGTAATAAATAGAAGAATTGAAACAGTTGTGAGGAGGGGGTGTCTTGTCACTGCAAGGAGTTAAATTGCCATGAAAGTTAAGATTCCACCATTGAAAAACTAAGTTGAAATTTGTGACTAATCGTAACACAACCAGTGGCTATTAGGAGTTATGGGAGCTTCTTGTGGACAATGTCTGCCGTAAGTCACATGTCACTGCGACCACCAACCAGTTTTGTGGGCACCAGTGAAGATCCGGGTTAGAATTGGCAATTTAGATAAGACCTTGTATAGATTAGTGAATCCAGTCAAAACATACCGTATATGACCCGTCTATAAGCCGAATTTTTAGAAGATCCCTTTTAAGTTCTAAGTTGTTTTGCTGGGCATTGTATTATTTGCAGGGATTAAGATTACCGTGTGTATCTGTTACAGATAATATAACGAATTGGCAATTTAGATAAGAAATATAACCATTGTATAGATTAGTGAGTCCAAATAGCAATCAGCTGCATTTTTTTGCACACGTTTCCGGCGATCAAGTTCAAACATGCACCAAAATATAGTAAAATATAAATCAGTAATTCTTTCAATGAAAGAGGTGGCATGGAAACTGGACTTTTTCTAGTCAATTGACTATCACTTCAGGAAGATATGATAGGGGAGAGAAAGCAAGATAATTTGACCAAATTCGCGTGATAATAGTAAAGCAGTTATTGACAGTATTGTAATGAATATGATACTATTTTACGGAACATGATGTTTGTGGATAAGAATTTGTTTCCTATACAGAAACATTCTACAGAATTGCCATGTGTTTCTCTATCTTTTCGCCAAAATTACAAGAATACGAAGGTCGTTTAATCCTCCATTACCGGTAATCCTGTTTATGTCAGGCAACCCAGGTACAAAATAAATTCTGTATGTCAAAACTTGCTGGCATGAAATCATTGGATGTCTAAGTTGTTTATCTGTTAAAGAAAAACATTTGTCTTCAGTTGGGGCGGTGGGGTAGCCTGATGGTTAAAGTGTCCGCTCGTCACATTGAAGACCCGGGTTCGATTCCCCCACATGGGTACAATGTGTGAAGCCCATTTCTGGTGTCCCCTGTCGTGATGTTGCTGGTATATTGCTATAATCGGTGTAAAATCATACTCACTCACTCATTTGTCTTCAGCTTGGTGCGGGACGTGACCGGGGTTAACGTCAACATGCGTGTGGGGATCCACAGTGGGCGTGTCCACTGTGGGGTGCTGGGATTGAGGAAGTGGCAGTTTGACGTGTGGAGCAATGATGTCACCCTGGCCAACATGATGGAGGCAGGGGGGCTACCAGGGTGAGGAGGAGAAGACTTTATGTACCTTTGTTAACAGAATAACCCTATATATGAGTTCTGTGCCTTGCGTTCAAATGCATTGCTAGTGATGCACCAAAGTACCTGTGTGAGCTACTGCAGCCTTACAGACCACTTAGAACTCACAGATCACAAGCACAACATCTCCTCTGTGTCCTGAAAACTAAGACTACAAGCTATGGGCATTGCTCTTTCTCTTACTCAGCAGCGGCAGAATGGAATCAACTTCATATCGAAATAAGACTTACTCCAATATTCAAATCGTTCAAAACCTTTCTGAAGACCCATCTGTTTAAAAGAGCTTTCATTAACTGGACTTTTAATATGTGCTTCGAACATGCAATGAGCGTGGAGCGCAATGTAAATTAGTGTTGGGAATTGGTTAAAATCTCATAATTGATGACTGGTTCATTACAACCGATCAATCATTGAAAATTATTAGTTAGCGTCATTTATGAAATTTGTTAATGCACATAAAAATAAGGAAATAATCATGTAGTTCTTTTGGGGCTTTTGGGCAAAATTCATCATCTTTAAAGGATGACTAGTATGTTAGCATAAATTTCTAAAGATAAATTCAATCATGACTTGAAACGAGCTTGCAGCTTATGAAATGTAACAGACAAAACCAACCACGCTTGTGTCAAACAAGTGTTCCAAAATTGGTTGTGTTCACATGAAAAACATGATGTGATTGCTAGTCACTACCAATCTTCGATCCAACTAATCCCACTAATATTGCACTATTACATACCCCGATCCATCAATACATGAGTGCATTTCTAAAGTTCTAATACTTTGACTGTGAATGTGTCAATTTAGGGTAATATGTGATCTAGACTACCAGTTGTCCGACTTCCATTTTTCTGGAAACCCAGTGGGTTAGATTGTGAATGCCATTCTTAGGGCCATTAAAATGATTTCACATGAAAGGGTTTTTTTAGTGTTAGGGCAACAGATTTACAATTGGGAGATATCCATGGAGATCCAGGTTAGAACTGGTCTTCAGTAACCTATATTTATAGAAAGAGGTGACAAACAGAATCGGATGGTCAAGCTTCCTGGCTGTGTTGATGCATGTAATTGTATCCCAGTATTGTAGTCCAATGCTTATGATGTCAATCACTGAATTGTCTGGTCCAGATTTGAATGTTTACAACCTGCGACAACATTGCTGAGTACCTTTACTCAAAGTGATTGTAAAGCTGAGATGATCGTAACTCCCATGCTTTAACATAGACTTACGACAGTTGTAGCGCTACGATCTCCTTGTGGAAAGGGCCCCTGATCTGTGGCTGAGTGTGATGTTAAACACAGAATACAGTTAGGAAGCCAACCTACTGTGTTTTCTGTTTTCACTCACTCACTCAATCGTTTTTGTCAGGCGAGTGCACATCACAGAAGACACACTGCGCTCCCTCAACAGTTCCTACGAGGTGGAGGAAGGGAAGGGCGGGGAACGTAACAACTACCTCCTCGACCACGCCATCAAGACGTACCTCATCAAAGAACATCACTCCAGGATACGTGTATGTACCCAAGATTTCTCACTTTCCTTCTTTACACAGGTTTCCCAGTCATATAGGTGCCACAAACTGCTGTGTAGAGTTGTATTCCTTAGGTACCCTATCATCGTTGGTTTGAATCCCAGTCAGAATGTGTCTTGGTTTACCTGCTCCATACTTATGGGGTTTCACTGAATGATATCGATTGATGAGGAGGAACACGTAAGGCCAGCATGACTTCAAGGTTTCCTCCCGTCCTCCTTCCTGTCCAATCATCCTGTTCCACGTCTGTTCAAAAGATGTTAGCAGTCTTGTAAATCTTCATAGAAAAATTTAGTCCAAGAAATAAACAGTAAATAGCTGCCATTTAGATGACAAACCATTGGGAACTGCAACATTTCAAATGTAAATGTGTGAATGATGTTGGTGCATGATGTTGGTCCAGAAGGTTGCCGCAGCTGCCCAGAGGAACAGCCCGGGGAACGTGTCAAACTCCAACGTTGGCAAGGAGTTGAAGATGATGGGGTATAACGCCAACCCGAGTGCCGGCATTCACCACAAGTAAGTCACCAGTACAGCCATTACGTCACTTATACTGCCATTCAGCCATGAACACCACTCTTAAGTCACCACTGACTCCATTCTGTCACTATTACTAAGTCACCAAGCTGTAATGCCATTATTTGACTTTCTTGGACACAAGATTCCTTATATCTGTCTGTTTCATTTTCACTCACACATCAAGTTAATAGACCTTATATAATGCCACTCGCTGGCTCTGTCACAGACTCACTCACTCACTCACTCACTCACTCACTCACTCACTCACTCACTCACTCACTCACTCACTCACTCACAGACTCGGTATTGGAGACAACCATGAAGCAAAGAACCCTGAAGAGGAGGTGAACGAATATCTGGTCCGTGCCATTGATGCTCGCAGCATCGACCGTCTACGCTCAGATCATGTGAAGGGCTTCTTCTTGACATTCCGGAAGAAAGATCTTGAAGAAAAGGTGAGAGAACAGATGATCTATCATCATGCACTTATTTGATGTGTAACACTGTTAGCACTAGCAGATTGTCTGTATCTTGTAAGAGGTAATGTAGGATTCCTGAAATAAAAAGATACAAGTACTTTCTCCAACTTAAACAAGGTTATTCATGATGTATAATTATTCTGTGATGAATGAGCTCTACATAAGTTAGTTTTACTTGTTCAAATGCATGTACGAAAGAGCCTCTTAATTCCTCCCTCAGAATCAACTGCAAGAACAGCAGTGAGGTGTCATGAAAACAGAATTTGTGTAAATGAGACAATTACCAAGATTTGTGCAGATTTACATTCAAGGCTTATCTATGTGCAATAGTCATTTGAACTATGGACATGCTCATGTTGAAAGTATATTTAAAAAGTGCTGGTTCAGCTTAATTTTCTGTAGGTCTTTTGTCCCCGGCCGTGATATTGCTGGAAAATTGCTAAAAGCAGCGTAAAACTAAACTCACTCACTCACTGTAGGTCCTTTGTTGTTATGTCATCTGGGCAGCTCATTTAAGTCCAGTTTGGTTCCTTCATCTGCTGATGCTGATGTTTGTGTTTTGCAAGTACATCCAGCTGTTTACACACTTCAGCTGTTAATATGTGCTGTGTTGTGTTGTTCCCTCACTCATGCACTGACACACTGACCAGTGTGTGGACCATGATGTACTAGGGAGTAATGTTTGTGTCTGTTCCAGTACCGCAAAGTCCGAGACACCATGTTTACATCCCACCTCGCCTGTGTGTTCCTCGTCTTCATCCTCATCTGTGCTGTACAGCTTACCATCATACCCAGGTAGGGGATAACAGCTTATCATCATACCCAGATAGGGGATAACAGCTTACCATCATACCCAGGTAGGGGATAACAGCTTATCATCATACCCAGGTAGGGGATAACAGCTTACCATCATACCCAGGTAGGGGATAACAGCTTACCATCATACCCAGGTAGGGGATAACAGCTTACCATCATACCCAGGTAGGGGATAACAGCTTATCATACCCAGGTAGGGGATAACAGCTTACCATCATACCCAGGTAGGGGATAACAGCTTACCATCATACCAAGGTAGGGGATAACAGCTTAACATCATACCCAGATAGGGGATAACAGCTTACCATCATACCCAGGTAGGGGATAACAGCTTAACATCATACCCAGGTAGGGGATAACAGCTTACCATCATACCCAGGTAGGGGATAACAGCTTACCATCATACCAAGGTGGGGATAACATCATACCATCATACCAAGTAGGGGATAACAGCTACCATCATACCCAGGTAGGGGATAGCATACTGTCATACCAAGGTAGGGGATAACATCATACCCAGGTAGGGGATAACATTGTTACCATCATACCCAAGGAATAGGGTAGATAATGGAGGAGCTTACCATCATAGCTACAGAGCTAGGGATAACATTGCTTTGAACATGAGCTTACATCATAAACCTTACCATCAGGCTAGTTGGGTCCTAACATGCTTACCATCATACCCAGGAGGTTGATCAAGCTGTTTACATATCTTGTCTCTGTGAGAAAGGTGGTTACATATCTTGGCTCTGTGAGAAAGGTGGTTACATATCTTGGCTCTGTGAGAAACGTGGTTACATATCTTGGCTCTGTGAGAAAGGTGGTTACATATCTTGGCTCTGTGAGAAAGGTGGTTACATACCTTGTCTCTGTGAGAAAGGTGGTTACATATCTTGTCTCTGTGAGAAACGTGGTTACATATCTTGTCTCTGTGAGAAAGGTGGTTCATATCTTGTCTCTGTGAGAAACGTGGTTACATACCTTGGCTCTGTGAGAAAGGTGGTTACATACCTTGGCTCTGTGAGAAAGGTGGTTACATACCTTGTCTCTGTGAGAAACGTGGTTACATATCTTGTCTCTGTGAGAAACGTGGTTACATATCTTGTCTCTGTGAGAAAGGTGGTTACATATCTTGTCTCTGTGAGAAACGTGGTTACATACCTTGGCTCTGTGAGAAACGTGGTTACATACCTTGGCTCTGTGAGAAACGTGGTTACATACCTTGTCTCTGTGAGAAACGGTGGTTACATATCTTGGCTCTGTGAGAAAGGTGGTTACATATCTTGGCTCTTGAGAAAATTGGTTACATATCTTGGCTCTCTGAGAAAGGTTGAACATCTGTATTTAGATTCTTGGCCCTGTCAGAAAGCATTCCCTTCCTACTGACAAGAATCTTCAACCTTAATGTAGAAGAAAGTTGACAAAGTCTGTCCTTCTTACCCCATGCTGCAGAGAAACAGGTCAAGCAGTCACAATATACAACCAATGTTATAAAGTCTGTCCTTCCTACCCCATGCTGCAGAGAAACAGGTCAAGCAGTCACAATATACAACCAATGTTATAAAGTCTGTCCTTCCTACTCCATGCTGCAGAGAAACAGGTCAAGCAGTCACAATATACAACCAATGTTATAAAGTCTGTCCTTCCTACCCCATGCTGCAGAGAAACAGGTCAAACTGTCAAAATATACAACCAATGTTATAAAGTCTGTCCTTCCTACTCCATGCTGCAGAGAAACAGGTCAAACAGTCACAATATACAACCAATGTTATAAAGTCTGTCCTTCCTACCCCATGCTGCAGAGAAACAGGTCAAACAGTCACAATATACAACCAATGTTATAAAGCCTGTCCTTCTTAAAGATCCCCATGCTGCAGAGAAACAGGTCAAACAGTCACAATATACAACCAATGTTATAAAGTCTGTCCTTCCTACTCCATGCTGCAGAGAAACAGGTCAAACAGTCACAATATACAACCAATGTTATAAAGTCTGTCCTTCCTACTCCATGCTGCAGAGAAACAGGTCAAACAGTCACAATATACAACCAATGTTATAAAGTCTGTCCTTCCTACCCCATACTGCAGAGAAACAGGTCAAACAGTCACAATATACAACCCATGTTATAAAGTCTGTCCTTCCTACTCCATGCTGCAGAGAAACAGGTCAAACAGTCACAATATACAACCAATGTTATAAAGTCTGTCCTTCCTACTCCATGCTGCAGAGAAACAGGTCAAACAGTCACAATATACAACCAATGTTATAAAGTCTGTCCTTCCTACTCCATGCTGCAGAGAAACAGGTCAAACAGTCACAATATACAACCAATGTTATAAAGTCTGTCCTTTCTGCCCCATGCTGCAGAGAAACAGGTCAAACAGTCACAATATACAACCAATGTTATAAAGTCTGTCCTTCGAACAAACTTCTCACTACATAAGCCCCTTGTGTTTCAGTGCACTCCGAAGGGACTTAGAGCTGTGGCCACCAAGATTGCCGTTAATCGCTGGCTGAACCAGCTAGTTGCCATTGTGTCCGTCCTGATGGTCTACGCCTCTGCTTTCTGTGCCATGGTAAGGGCCTGAGTGGAACACCTCCTTCATTTCAGGACGTTTTCCTGGGACAAGTTGGGTGGCTGGTTTGTTGTTCAACGTCACACTCAGCAATATTCCAGCTATATGTCAGTGGTCTGTAAATAATCACGTCTGGACCAGACAATGCAGTGATCAACAGCATGAGCATCGATCTACATGTGTCAACCAAGTCAGCGAGTCTGACTACCCGATCCTGTTAGTCACCTCTTACAACAACCATGGGTTGCTGAAGACCAATTCCTACCCGGATCTTCACAGGTCCTTCACTGCTAGCAATAGAAAGAAGTGTTTAAACTAAGAAACAAATGACTTACTTTCAATATTTTTATCTCACAAAACCCAAAACACTCTTTTTTCAACTATGGTGCTTGTGATGGCCTTTTTGTGGATGGAGCTTTTTGCTCTCTTGACCAAAATATTGTCTCAGCTGTCTGAGATCTATGTTCATACTCTGCTGAAAAAAGGTTAATTTCATTTTAACGATTTGACTCTCAGAAATACTTTCAATGATTATAGATTAGGCTGTGTTTTTTAACTGAGCTGCAATGTGGATTGTGAGGGTTGTGTTACTAGTAGTTTTCATGTTTGGAGGTGAGGTGAAATTGGGTTTAACGTCGTGCTTGAGAATATTTCGCTCATATGGCGACGTGCATGCGTGTGTATGTGTATGTGCGGCTGCTTGTACTAGCCCAGACTGAAGCTGGTTTTATAGTGCTAGCCCACTGAGATACCTTGCCGCAGTGAAGCATGAATACCCCACTCAGACACATTATGCTGACTCGGAGCCGATCAGTCCTTGTTGTACCCATTAATGCCGAACGCCAGGCAGGAACCAACAAGTACCATATTTTAACGTCTTTTGGTATGACGCGTCGGGATCGAACCCGCGACCTTCCGCTCTCCGGGCGGACGCTCTAACCACTACACCACGGAGGCGGTCTCTCATGTTTGGAACTTGGACCATATCTATAGCAGGGATGCTCATGATGTTGATCACTGGATTGTCTGGTCCAGACTCAACTCTTAACATACTGCCGCCATATAGCTGGTATATTGCTACACACCAAACAAACAAACAAATATTAAGACATGTTCGTTACAGTCACACACGCCTTATTGTTGTTCACTTCTTTTGTCCAGCTGATGCTGAGCTCCCCACAGCTCCCGGAGTGTGTGGAGTCTTACCTTCATCTGAACAGCAGCAGTAACGGGAACCTGTCCATCATCTCCCAGGCAGCCATCACGCGAGAGTCGCACCACTCTGTCTGCAACCCTGCTCAACCTACGTCTTTCTTCCCAGAGGTCAGTGAATTAAACAGAGCATGACTGACTGACTGAGTTTTAGTTTTACGCTGCTTTTAGCAATATTCCAGCAATATCACGGCGGGGGACACCAGAAATGGGCTTCACACATTGTGCCTATGTGGGGAATCAAACCCGGGTCTTCGGTGTGACGAGCCAACGCTTTAACCACTAGGCTACCCCACCGCCCCTAAACAGAGCATGAGGTCCCTGTGATTGGAGTGTGGGCATGAGGTCCAAGGCAGGGGAGTAGAGAGGGCATTAGAGTATCTGTGTAAGGAGACTTGGTAGAATTGATCACTCGGGTGAATTGCCCCTTTCCTGTCTTCGGTGTAAGGATTGGGTCATTGCAATGTAAGACCCTGCTAATTGTGTCTCACCCAGCGCCAGTGGTATGGATCAGTCTCATATCATGTCCAAGCAAGAAGACAAGTAGACAAGATAAGCTGTCTGTCTTTTCTATTTGTAATCCAAGCTTTGCTCTACCTTTCCAGTACTTCACCTTCTGTGTCATCATGTCGATGATCGCCATGGCGGTGTTTCTTCAAGCCACCAGCATTGTCAAGATGGTTCTCCTCATCTCCATGACAACCATCTACCTGTTGGTGGCGCAGCTCCTCTATGCCAACATCTTCGAGAACCGTGACCTGCTGCTGAGGGCATCATCAGGGTAGGTGGTACGGGGTTCTGTAGGTGGGGCTAGTTCTGTTATTCTGGGTAGGTGGTCCGGGGTTCTGTAGTTGGGGCTAGTGCCCAGTTATTCTGGGTAGGTGGTCCGGGGTTCTGTAGGTGGGGCTAGTGCTCAGTTATTCTGGGTAGGTGGTCCGGGGTTCTGTAGTTGGGGCTAGTGCTCAGTTATTCTGGTTAGGTGGTCCCGGGGTTCTGTAGGTGGGGCTAGTGCTCAATATTCCGGGTAGGTGGTCTCCAGAGATCTGAAGATGAGACCTAGTGCTCAATATTCCGGGTAGGTGGTCTCCAGAGATCTGAAGATGAGACCTAGTGCTCAATCTTCCGGGTAGGTGGTCTCTAGAGTTCTGAAGATGAGACCTAGTGCTCAATATTCCGGGTAGGTGGTCTCTAGAGTTCTGAAGATGAGACCTAGTGCTCAATATTCCGGGTAGGTGGTCTCTAGAGTTCTGAGAATGAGACCTAGTGCTCAATATTCTGGGTAGGTGGTCTCCAGAGATCTGAAGATGAGGCCTAGTGCTCAATATTCCGGGTAGGTGGTCTCTAGAGATCTGAAGATGAGGCCTAGTGCTCAATATTCCGGGTAGGTGGTCTCTAGAGTTCTGAAGATGAGGCCTAGTGCACAATATTCCGGGTAGGTGGGGGCCTGTACTGTGTCCGTGGCCAAGAAATATTGTACAGTTATATCTACTTGTTTGCTGTTGACTGTAACCATGGTGATGCATATAGATGACTCTGCTTCAAAGGCCAGGAAAATATCATTAATTAGTAAAATAATTAATTACATTTTCTTATGTATCTGTACTTTCACTGTAGTGTTGCCGAGATGATTAGATGGCTCTTATTCTGTGTCTTGTATATCTGTAACGGCACTGTTGCCATGGTGATTGATGGGTGTTTGTGTGTGTCCAGGAAGGACATGTCCTCCCCGACGTCGTCCATCTCCCTACGGTGGGAGATGATTGTCATTCTGCTGGTGTTCTGCATCGTTCTCTTCGTCCACGCTCAGCAGGTGGAGTCTACTGCCAGGCTGGATTTCCTCTGGAAGGTTCAGGTATGTGTGCAGAGTTGATTCCCTTTGTCCTGCAGGATATGCTGACATCACAGTCTTTGTGTATACTGAAGCTGAGAGGCAATGGTATAAATGAAATATTGGCCGACTCACACAGTGTAATACTGCACAGGATGATGTTCATGCTGACCAACACTAGTTGGTCTGGTTTAAACACAAGTATATGCCTTCCATGTGATATGAATGGACTATTGATGCGTGGTGCAAGACGGCATGCATATTCTGGCTTATTGGCATGAAATATTCAGAAGTACAGGGATGTGCAAAATTGGTAATCATTTTTAGCTGCAATCCTAAATGTTTTGTTTTGGTATATGGAGAATATCAGCCAAGTGTTTTATCTCATTTCATATCAAAAGTCACAAGGTTGAAATTTTATTGAGCATCCAGAATCATAAATCCATCATTTTACGTGTGTATACAATAGATACCAGTACAGTGTTGAGTGTAAAATGTACTGCTAACCACTGGTAGAGGGATTAGTGACATCATTTAATTGTAATGTGGTAACCAATGACATCGAACGCCTCCGTGGTGTAGTGGTTAGAGCGTCCGCCCGGAGAGCGGAAGGTCGCGGGTTCGATCCCCGACCGCGTCATACCAAAAGACGTTAAAATATGGTACTTGTTGGTCCCTGCCTGGCGCTCGGCATTAATGGATACAACAAGGACTGGTCGGCTCGGAGTCAGTATAATGTGTCTGAGTGGGGTATTCATGCTTCACTGCGGCATGGTATCTCAGTGGGCTAGCACTATTATACAAGCTTCAGTCTGGGCTAGTACAAGCAGCCGCACATACACATACACATACACACGCATGCACGTCGTCATATGAGCGAAATATTCTCAAGCACGACGTTAAACCCAATTTCACCTCACCTCACCAATGACATCACAGTAGTGGGCTGGGCATTGTGATGCAGTGGCATTGCAGTGATATTTGTTTGATGTCTTCCAAGTGAGATATTCCAATGGAAGCCAGTTTTGGATGGAAATATTTAACACTCAAGCAATATGAAAAGTCATCTTAAGTTTGTTATACATTTGATGAAAATGTTCTTGATAGTAGACCCAATTAGAATCTGTGTTGAGGTGCATACAGTAGATGAGAGTGGTAAGCTCACGTGAAGATTAGCCCCAAACTGGTCCAGTAGGTGGCTCTTTACATGGGGATGGGCTACATATTCCCATCATGCATCGCCATGAGGGAGCGTTAAGTATTTAAATTCTCCAGCACCATGTCATTTAAATGGAATTGCAGATAATACAAGTACATAAAACCAGTTTATGAAAGAAGGCCCGTCCGACTGCCCAAAATAGGCTACATTTCTGATGGACAGTCTATATTTACAGCAAGCTAGCCCAATGGTTTGGTAAAAAATTAGATAACATGTTCCATACATCTGAGTAAATTCACCATATCTTTAAACCTATTTTTTAAATTGAGAGTTACATTTAGACTTGACAATTACTGTTTGAATATTGAACTAGCGATCGCACGCTCAAAGCACTGCGCTGACATATATTATCACTAAAACAGCTACACCTATCGATACATATTGAAGTTACCAGCCCTGATGTCTGGCTGGGTTTTAGCTTATTTCATACACTGATAAAACCCAAGATGGTTGGATTTCATATTTTTCCAAATAATTTTGGTTGCTAGGCAACAGAGGAAATGGAGGAGATGGAAAGCCTACGAGCGTACAACCTGCGTCTCCTGTCCAACATCCTGCCCCTGAACGTGGCCCAGCACTTCCTCCAAAACCAGTTCAAGAAGGACGAGGTAGAGATATAAATAACAGCACTTACTATCTTATCATGTCTGTCTGTGTTACTGACGTAAGAGGCGACTAACGGGATCGGCTGGTCAGGCTCACTGACTTGGTTCACACATGTTATCAGTTCCCCATTGCGCAGATCGACGCTCATGCTGTTGATCACTGGATTGTCTGGTCCAGACTCGATTATTTACAGACCGCCGCCATATAGCTGGAATATTGCTGAGTGCGGCGTAAAACTAAACTCACTCACTCACTGTGTTACTGAAAATAGAAGTCATCGTGGGAATTCTCCATCTGGAGGTGGTCCCCTTGTATGAGGGGACAAATGGTTATGGTGGTTTGGCTCAGTGACAAGGTGTCTTGCAGTACATATCTGATAGCAAGGATTGTTTCTTCAAAATATCAATACTGGGGGTGGTGTGGTAGCCTAGTGGTTAAAGCGTTGGCTCGTCCACGAAGACACGGGTTCGAATCCCCACATGGGTACAATGTGTGAAGCCCATTTCTGGTGTCCCCCCGCCGTGATGTTGCTGGAATATTGCTAAAAGCGGCGTTAACCCAAACTCAGTCAGTCAGTCAGTCAAAATATCAATACTGGATTGTCTGGTCCAGACTTAAGTATGTATAGGCCGCCATGATATAGCTGGAATATTGCTGAATGAAGCTCTAGACAACAAACAAATGAAAAGAACCACTTGGGGTAAAGTTCTTTAAATTGTTCAAGGGCTTTTTAGAGCTCATTTAAAAGTTGCTTGTTTGTGATCTGGAATTCTTACAGGTTAGGGTTGGAGGGCAAAACATATCCCCATCCCCATCATATATAACTTGGATGGTATGCCTATGTACCTCTGGGTCGGTTGGGTAGCCTAGGTTAAAACGTTACCCAAGCTCGTCACACCAAAGACTCGGTTCGATTCCCCACATGAGTACAACATGTGAAGCCCATTTCTGGTGTCCCCTGCCGTGATATTGCTGGAATATTGCTAAAAGTGGCGTTAAACCATACTCACTCACTCACTCACTCATTGATGGACTAGGAGTTGAAGGTTCATCCAACTCACTGTATAGTGTTATATCCCTTAACTGCAGAGTTATCTCCTCTCCCTGATATTATTGCTTATCTGAGTTATGGCCCGTGTTTCATGACCATCGCTGGGATAATATTGTCAGCTGCTCAAAGTGTTTCCCTTTATTTGATTTACTTTTGGGATTCTGGGGTTTCAGTCGTACTTGCAAACAAATGCTTGTAAGAGCGGACAAAGATTTTTCTGGTAATCAGGTGTTTGACAAGGCATATCCCAGGCTTTAGTTTGTTGGTTCATCCAGTGTGATTATATACTGACACCTGCGAGACAGCTGGAATATTGCAGACTGTGCACATTATCCTTCACTGTTGGTTGTATCCTACAGGAGCTGTACTACAAGGCCTGTGAGAACACGGGCGTGATGTTCGCCTCCATCACCAACTTCTCCGAGTTCTACATGGAGCTGGAAGGCAACAACGAGGGCGTGGAGTGTCTCCGCCTTCTCAACGAGATCATTGCTGACTTTGATGAGGTCAGTAGCATGTTGGGAAAGAAAATTATGCAGACGTAATTTCAGATACTTTAGAAACATTTTTATCCCCGGCATGTAATGCGGGGGTATATAATCGTTGCCTCGTCCGTCCGTCCATAATCATTTTGTTTCCAGAGCATAACTCAAAAAATGTTCAATATTTTTCAACAAAAATTGGTAGCTATATCACACAGAACCTAAGGTGGTGCCTTTTGCTATGTACAGATTTTTGTCATTTTATTTCCCCTGTTTCCATGGAAATGATTCGGACTTAGTCCCAAAAGGGAGGGGTGGGCTTCGTTTCGAGACACAACTGGAAAACTTTATAATATCTTTCAGCAGAACTTGGCAGATATATTTGGCAAATTTTGTAATGGTGCCTTTTGCTATTTACAGATTTTTGGCATTTATATTTCTCATGATTTGTATGGAAACGATTTGGACTTAGTTTTAAAAAAAGCTGGACCTTAATTAACTGTCAGATGATTTGTTCTTTCAAATATGTGGGGGCCGGGGGGATATGTCATCTTCTGATGACTCTTGTTTAAAGATACTAAAACACATATTTTAAAGACATGTCCTGGCCTCGGACAACTGAGAGTCTTTGATGGCCGGTATTCAGTATTATCAATCTCAATTCCCTAGGGACACATAGTCACAGTTTACTGCACGTTGCTGTACCTGCAACTGGGTGTTTGCACGTATTAATGTGGCCACCATCTGGTCATTTACCAACGGATTCGTGGGTTCTTTTAAGTGCACAGGGTTGTGTACTGTACACTAGGGGTTGTGACAACACTGCACACAAAGTTTACTCCAAGGATTTTACACTCGGTCACAGGTGGGCTCGATCCCTGCACCTCAAGCTCGCTGGATCACTAGCCTGACGCCTTAGACAGCTTGCACTAGCCTAACCCTTAGACAGATTGCACTAGCCTGGCGCCTTAGACAGCTCGCACTAGCCTGGCGCCTTAGACAGCTCGCACTAGACTGACGCATTGGACAGCTCGCCCACTGATAAATGTCAGTCCCAAAATCCCCAAAGTGATTTCTCTTCCTCTTGTCTTTGCAGATTCTTCAGGAGGAGCGTTTCCACTGTATTGAGAAGATCAAGACCATCGGTCAGACGTACATGGCTGCGTCGGGTCTGACGCCCGAGACGCACTTCCCCGACATGAGACACATTATCGCCATATCAGACTACGCCATTGCCATCCGGTCACAGCTGCAGTATGTCAATCAACATTCCTTCAACAACTTCAAGATGAGAGTCGGTGAGAAAGTATTCTATATTCTGATCTAATAATTAAATTCAGTATTCTGGTCTAATAAACTGTAAGTGATTTAGTGGTATTTTTTTGCTAATTCAATGTTAATGTTAATTCAATTTGCATTGCCTATATTTATAAATCTAAAGTATATGATTAATGCTACATAACTGATTTAATTAGTACAGAAATGTTGATGCTGTAACAAGTCACGTGGAGAGAAACGTATTACTTCCAGTCACTTACTTCCCAATTAAAACACACAATGACAACTATAAGCTGTTGGAGGATTTATTGTTACCTGCACCAGGTTCAACCTGTTGCTGAATGTAACTTGCACCATGTGCAACCTGTTGCTGAAACGTAACCTGCACCAGCCATTGTTAAAATGCACCAGTGCAGGTTGGAAATAGCGAAATCGAACCCTGACATAGCTTTGGAAAAAGTAGTACGCGAAATTGATCTGTGTGGTTTCAGCTTTTCTGAAGTTTACCAGCTGTGAAACACTAACCATAATCTCACTAATTTCAAACAATGTTAAACCTTCTTTATACCCAGGCATCAACATGGGGCCTGTTGTGTCTGGTGTCATCGGCGCACGCAAACCTCACTACGACATCTGGGGCAACTCTGTCAACATTGCCAGCAGGATGGACAGCACGGGCGTCCCAGATAAGATTCAGGTGAGACTACAAGAAGTCACATGTAGGGCCATCTGAGGACCCTGAGTGGTACATTCTAGAAGAGAATAGGCTCCAGAAAGTCTGCTGGACGTAAGTGCCGACTTTGTGGAGTAGGTGACCTTTGACTGTTTGGATGCCATCGTACACAGACAGCATGCAGTGTTTGCAATTAATATAGATCTCCTGCTGGTGTGTCGGTCCAAAGAGAATTATTTAGAGGACACTGTGATATAGATGTAATAATTGTAGCATTGTTAGACAATGGTTCCAAGAAATCACAGCAAGCTTGTGGGATTTTAACAAAGTTGTAAACTTCTGTGACCGGATACTGAGTGAGTGAGTGTTTAGTTTACGCCGCACTCAGCAATATTCCACCTATATGGCGGTGGTTTGTAAATAATCGAGTCTAGATCAGACAATCCAGTGATCAACAGTATTAGCATCGATCTGCGCAATTGGGAACCGATGACATGTGCCAACCAAGTCAGCGAGCCTGACAAGCCGATCCCATTAGTTGCCTCTTACGACAAGCATGGGTTACTGAAGGTTCATTCTAACCCGGACCTTCACGGGTCCTGTTTTATGTAGTACAACCACCTTTCTTGTTTGTTCTTAAAAAATATCCTTTGATGATTCCTTTATACCTTTATGCTGATGCAGGTAACACAAGATGTCTACACGTTGCTGTCAGAAAGAGGCTACTCTCTGGAGTGCCGTGGCATTGTCAAGGTCAAGGGCAAAGGAGACATGACGACATACTTCTTGCTAGCGCCGCCCAACCAGACAACAGAAGACACAAAAATATGATTACCTGTACGCAAGGAGTCTTGTATGGTATCATGTTACCAGATGGTCAAGTTATATAAGTTTGGTCATGAAGAGATACAATGATTCAGCTGGAAACAATAACCATTCCTGATCCTGAAGCTGAGTGATGCGTTGCTAGCAGCAGCTGACGAAGCTGGATGTCGTTCCGTTGTTTCAGCTATCCTCAGTATATCTCAGCAATAATGGCAACTTTGTGCTTTTGAATAACTGATGACTCTTCTCCATGCCTGTCAAATATCACCAGTGCTACAAGCGACTTGTCAAATAATGTCAAAAGTTAATCAAAATCGTTGTCAAAGAACATGAACTTGTACATGTGTCCCAGAAATTGAGCCTATCAAAGACCTTACACAGGAATTTGCTGAAACCCTGACAGAGGCTGCCTGGAGCATGTAGATGCATTTATGAAAAACACTGCTGCTTCTTGCAGAAATGACTGTATGTGTGAACAGTACGACAAGTGCCACCCAAGCCATGAATTTAACCGGACACTTGGGCCACTATTCCTAGAAGTACATTGTGTAGAATGACTCTAAGTTGAGAAGTCTTCTGTTACACTTTGAGCAGGTTGTTGACAATAATCAAGTATGTTTTATGTTAAACTTTATTAACAAATGAAATGGACATGCTGACAGTGTGTAGAAAAAAATGTGACGTCACTATAAGCCAGTGGATGCTATGCCAACATGCATGTTTTTGAGCCAGTCATACATGGAGTCATTATATCTGAAAACTGAGAAAGGTATATACACTTGTGTGCAGGATACGCTAAACATGAACAAAACAGGGGCACATATCTACAGCTTCCTGTATTTTTAGTGGTTGTCAAGAGAGTGTTAACAAGAGTTACCATCCTTGAAGTCACATGCTGCCTTGTCATTGTCTGTTCATTTGGACTGTCAACACACTCCATCTGTATTGAATACATATGTATGACTGGTCATTGATTGTAAATTGTGATGGAAAGAAACAACATTCATATGTGTGTTCATATATTTATTGCAGATGTCATTGAAATAATCAGTACAGTTTATTTTATTTTTTTTTGAGTGGTTGGGAGACAGGAGTGGGTTATTGCTTGCATGACTGCCATTTTAACAAAACAAATATTTTTGAAATTGGGAAAAATATGTCCGTGAAGTTGTTTATCATGAAGTGTATCATTCTGCTTCATGTTACAGTGACAGTAGTGTATTGTTTTAGCCTTAGGCAGACGTTTTCACAAAGTATGACACAATTTGTGGCCTTACAAGCAGCTTGTGTATCTGTTGGGGTGATCCTCTGCACAGGTACTGCAAGACTGTTGTGTATGTGTGTAGTACTATGTGCCCAGTGTAAGTGCCTGTGTACAGAGATCTGGATCTGCGGCAGTCTTGTTCACTGAGGACCATGATTCCCAGGCTACCAATGAGACAACACTCAAGATATTCCTGGAATAACATCGGATCTCCTTTTGAAATAGGTGCGATAAGTAATACCTAACCAAAACATGATAGCTGTGCTTGATTGTAAAGGGGTATTTGACAATCTCTGCAAATATCTCCATGAGACACAATGGAATTTTGTTGTGGAGGTATATATTTGTTTGTAATCATTCCTTTTGAGTATGTATTTTTGTACATATTTACCCGAGTTCCATTCTTTCCAATCCCTCAACAGTGACTGTGAAGTGTGTTTTGATAACCATGTACATCTCTGATGAAGAACTGTGATGCCTGCCATCTCCACCTTGTGTCTTGATCACAATTGATCTCATAGTGTGTCTCCCTCCTCTGTTTTAGGGACCAGTCACTAGAGTTACCTCCCTCCTCTGTTTTAGGGACCAGTTACTAGAGTTGCCTCCCCTCCTCTGTTTTAGTGGTCATTCACTAGAGTTACCTCCCCTCCTCTGTTTTAGGGGTCATTCACTAGAGTTACCTCCCTCCTCTGTTTTAGGGACCAGTTTTGTTTTAGGGGTCATTCACTAGAGTTGCCTCCCCTCCTCTGTTTTAGGGGTTATTCACTAGAGTTACCTCCCCTCCTCTGTTTTAGGGGTCATTCACTAGAGTTGCCTCCCATCCTCTGTTTTAGGGGTTATTCACTAGAGTTGCCTCACTTCCTCTCTTAAGGCACAAATCAGTCAAGTTGCCTCCCTTTATCTCTTTCGGGACTATTTCTTTGTCTAGAATTCTTTGTCATTATAGCTTTAAGCACAAATAATTTGAAAATTGAGAGGATGTAGTCTGTGGAAAAGTGATTAATAGGAAACATTGCAGAGAAAAATGTATGTTTTGAAGCAGGAATAAACAAATAGTCTCCATCTTACTTCCAAGAAACCACCCCAAGAAGTATATAGTCGGACCTATAACAAGACAGGAAAACATTCTATGGTTGTGCCTTTACATTACAACTTACTGTGTTGTAGAAATGCATTATGTTTGTGGGATGACTGAGATTCACATTTGGTGCTGTCTAAATGCTATTCCAGCAGAATATAGGCAGTATGTGGCAGGTGAGAAAACTGTACGATCATTGCGCTGATAAGGATTAGCAGATTCTCACAACTCCAGTTTTGATTTTGAAAATTCCCTCACATTCTTTTGTTGTTTTGATGTTGATCTCACGCTGAATGAACTAAATGTTGAATTATGCTGAAGTCAGCAATATTCCAGCTGTGTCACGGTGACCCAGATATACAATTTGGGTCAGACATGACATGTCCAGATAGTGTGCCACACAATATACCATCAGCTTGGGCCTCACTTCTTATCACATTGGCTCTCACAATGAGAATGATAAGCGGAGTCACCAGGTGATCATGGGTGTGTTGCTGTTCTGTCCCCTGTGAAGAAACCATTTGCCTTTTGTCATGATCTCCTGTGAGCTACAGAAGTCATTATGCTGTGTGCAGACTCCGCTACTCAAGTGAATTGTTGCTATATAAGCTGCTTCTAGTTGCTAGTCGAGTTCCTCTGCTCATCAAGCCACCGGACTGTTTATACCTCTGTTAGCTGCTTGTCAAGCATTCTCACTACAGAAACCTTTGATAGCTGCTTGCCAGGCGATCTCACTACTTATACTTCTGCTAGCTGCTTGTCATGCATTCTCACTACAGAAACCTTTGATAGCTGCTTGCCAGGCGATCTCACTACTTATGCTTCTGCTAGATGCTTGTCAATGCATTCTCACTACAGAAACCTTTGATAGCTGCTTGCCAGGCGATCTCACTACTTATACTTCTGCTAGCTCACAAGTATTCTCACTACAGAAACCTTATAGCTGCTTGCCAGGCGATCTCACTACTTATACTTCTGCTAGCTGCTTGTCAAGTATTCTCACTACAGAAACCTTTGATAGCTGCTTGTCAGGTGATCTCACTACTTATACTTCTGCTAGCTGCTTGTCAAGTATTCTCACTACAGAAACCTTTGATAGCTGCTTGTCAGGCGATCTCACTACTTATACTTCTGCTAGCTGCTTGTCAAGTATTCTCACTACAGAAACCTTTGATAGCTGCTTGTCAGGTGATCTCACTACTTATACTTCTGCTAGCTGCTTGTCAAGTATTCTTACTACAGAAACCCTTTGATAGCTGCTTGTCAGGCGATCTCACTACTTATACTTCTGCTAGCTGCTTTTCAAGTATTCTCACTACAGAAACCTTTGATAGCTGCTTGTCAGGCGATCTCACTACTTATACTTCTGCTTGATGCTTGTCAGGCGATCTCACTACTTATACTTCAAAGCGATCTCACTACAAATGCCTCCAATATTTGCTTGTCCAGCGATCTCAATACAGATGTCACTTCTAGAAGCTTGTCAAGCGATCGCGCTACTTATACCTCTGCTAGCTGCTTGAGAAGCGACCTCACTACTTATGACTCTGCTAGCTGCTTGTCAAGCGATCTCACTGCTTTTGTCTCATTTAATATCTCAACCTTACTGAGAGAGATAACAGTGTAATGATGTATTGACCAGGAGAGTCATGCAGAGAATCGACTTTATCAAATCTGATACATTCCTCGAACTGATAACTGACTGTGCCAGGCTGATAATCAGTCCAAGTATCCCGCAGGATGATCTCAAAGTATTGCATATCACAGTGACGGGGACCATCTCAAAACTTGCATCAATGCAACCATACTGGTAACAGTTTGTGCAGTTTTGATGGAAATAGATTCATCATTGTCTCAGATCACATTGATAAATGTTTATGCTGTATTTTGCAGTAAATTATACCTGTTGCCATGAAGAAAATTCCATAACAACAACACAACAGTCATTGTAAACATCCCTTTGTTCAGTCAGGTGCAGGTCCATGGTTAAAATGTAGTCATATGCTAATGTATGCTAATGTATGCTAATTAACCCAAAATTATTATTCTGATTTGTGTCCTTCCAAAACTTTTGGTTTATCGTATTCGCCTGATTAAATGCTCTGGTACAAAATACACCCTCTGACCATCTTTTAGTTTTATTAAACAGCAAACCACCACCCCCATTGTATAACTGCATATGACACTTTCTTCTATATCATGTTTTCATAAGCAGCCCCTTTGGAAATTGCTTGGCATGCCTATTTTGGCAAGCACACAAACATTAAGTTTATTCCTTACCTGTTGACCTATGACCTATGACAAATTTAAGTCATTGTGTATTTAGTTTTAATAAGCACCCCCATTGTACATTTCCAAATAATTGGCATGCTTATTTTGGCAAGTATGGTATATTTTGGACATGTTTTCAACAATTTTGTTCAATAGTGTGCTGTATTTATTCTCTTCGTATGTTCGAATATATGAAAGACAAGGGAAATGATATTAAGCAATATAAAACTCTGGCTGACCTTCAAGCCAGGATGTGTAACATAAACATTACGTCAAGTGGAATTGTTCTGCATGATAAGAAAACATTCATTCCAGCGAACATTATTTTCAGTGTATGTAAATGATGTTTATATATATTACTTTGAAGCTGTTTTCAGTCACAAATAATCAATGATGTCAGTTTTAAAATTGGAAGTTGTGAACATTTCCACTAATTTTCATCTTTTCATTTTATATCATTTTCTGTGCATTTTGATAACATTAATTAATATTTAATGTTTCCTGGTTGTGTCAGCCGTTTTGGGTGAATTTTAAGTCATCAGTCATTGTCAGTCCTTGCCAATGTAGATGAAAAGTGGGGTGGTAGCTAATATTTCAAACAGACTACTTCTCACAGTTTCAACATATATTCAACATATATACAGTAGAGCAAAAACTGTTCTCAGTCATTGTACATTTCCAATTTTGGGAGATTTTTATGCTTTGTTTATCATTCAGAATTTGTTTCAACAGGAGCTGTAAAACTTTTACAGTTTCTTAAAACTTTGCCTTTACAAATTTTAGTTTTAATGATCTTACAAAAATGGTTGCCTCGGTAACATTTGGTGCTTTGTTGATGATGAATATGATTGTTATTATTCATCTAGTCAATCAAATTATTGATACTTTACAAGGATGAGTAGGATCTGATCAATGATATTTACTCACGTGTATACGCAGTGTATACTATAACATGTGGTGTGGTATGTATTGTTTATACCACACTTAGCACGTATGTTATGTCATTACTCGTATATATCAGTTTGTTATAGCACTTTGTTGGTGTAAATCATGTAAATATCACTCCCATTTCATATGTTGTACAGTATATATATATATATATATATATAATGTTACATGTATGTGTATTGAATGTTGTGTATTTCATTTATGGTGTTTATTTCATTATACCGCCTGTTGTATATTTTGTATTAATCACACATTGTTTTTTTCATGTTTCTTTCATGTATCTTTTCCTTGGGGATCTGATCAAACATTTGAAATTATCCATATATTGCATGTGTTGTTTCAAAGTAGAAATTCACGCCAAAGACCGGGTTCGAATCCCCACATGGGTACAACGTGTGAAGCCCATTTCTGGTGTCCCCCGCCATAATGTTGCTGGAATATTGCTAAAAGCGGCGTAAAACCAAACTCAGTCAGTCAGTCAAAGTAGAAATGATACCAGCTTAAAATAGTCTGCTTGAAATGTTCAAAATACATTTGCTGGCACAGACATCCATATTGCCACAAGTTATCCTCTCTCCTGCCAGAAATGAATGGTTTGAATACAAATTGTGGGTTTGTCAGCTCTCTACTCAGGTCATCGGTTTCACCATTGTGGTAAAGGTGTTTGACCTGCGTCTCCTCTCTCTGCAACGTCAAGCTGGTAGAGATGACTCACTCACCCATTCACTCATCTCACCCAACTCACGCAACTCACACGCTCTCACACACTCACTCACTCACTCTCACATTTTCGCGTTCATTCTGATAAATCTGTTTTCCAGTTTCCAGACTTATTTTTTTTACATGAACACACAGCTCATTTCGGGAAGTGGTCAAATGTGACAAATGTTATGTTTGGGATTACTCTTTCTCAGTAAAGTACAGATTCTAGTACTTTTGTTGGTTTGAGTTCCACCTGGGATTCGAACCCACACCCTCAGAGTCAGGCTCCTTATCACCAGCACACAAAGTTAGCCATCTAACCCACTCAGCCGCCATGGCGGTGGAAGATCCTAAATCTCAACATGGAACATTTAAGTCTACACTGTGTCATGTTGCGTTGTCAGCATGTTTGTGACTTCATGTCTCTCAGGAAATAGAAATAATCGCAATTTACACATCCAGCATCTTGTTCCTAGATTACCAGGTTCCCAGCTGCTATGGTGAGTTGCCTTCCTTAAAGATGCTGTTTTCCCAGTATAAATCCTAGATTTTTGCTGATTATGATTTTCAATTAGGGACTATTCAGGAAATGTTTAAATTTGAACGTGACTTTTTTTCCATATCATTTAGAAATGCACATCAAATTCTGTAATATAGAACAACTGTTGTTATATATTTACACAACTGTTGTTCGGATTGTGGTTGTGCTATCTGTAGTTGTTAGGATAATCTGTTTCTCTTGTATATTTGTATAAATAAAGTACACTGTGATATGGAGTTGCATTCTATTTAATTAATCTGTCAGAGTGAGTGAGTGATTTTTAGTGTTTTGCCGCTTTTAGAAAGATTTCAGCAATATCATGGCGGGGTACACTAGAAATGGGCTTCACACATTGTACCCATGTGGGGAATCGAACCCGGGTCTTTGGCGTGCCAAGTGAACACTTTATCCTCGAGGCTACCCCACCGCCCCCTAGGGATTCTGTAAGCATGATAAATCTGTAAATCTGTAAAACTGTAAGGCCAGCATCATTTCAGGTTTGTCTGACCCAATGATATAACGGAAACAAGTTTCAAAACAGTATTAAACCAAACTCACTCATCCACTCACGCATTCACACACTCACTCACGCACTCACCCACCCACCCACCCACCCACTCACTCACTCACTCACTCACTCACTCACCCACCCACTCACCCACTCCTGTTAAGTTCAGTTTGACACATCTATCTCTTGTTCTGACATGGCTTAATTTCTCCAGCTGTGTTGCCTGTCACCAGATCAGCTGTATGTTGATGTACCTGAAATGACTAACTCTCAGAAGCCAGGTTTTGGATCAACTCTGTCCCTGTGTCTTCATGATAAAATGCCTTATTGATATGAAATTTGTGATATTACAGAAATCAGTGTTCATAATATTTGTGGTTTTGCCTTTAGTCTTTGAATGCATCTTCCAGGCATTGTGTTGCACCGATATTCTGAGTGGCCGATTCCATGTTTACTATAAACACTCCCCACAGAGATTCTGGGTCAGAATTAATTCCCACCAACCTCTGCTTTCTTTACGAGGCTACTTAAAGGGTAAGGTTACATGAAAATTAACCTTTTGTGTCTTGCACCTTTCCAGCATAAAAAGTGTTTGTCAAGTAGTTTCATAGCCAACACAGTACAGATATCAGAAGTAACTAATTTACTTTTGGTGTCATATCGATTCATATTTTGCACATTTACTGAGAGTTCTATGTCCACAATAAATACACCATGGCTTATGTCCCTTGCAAATGACGTCATTTGTGCCAAACTGATAAACAAATGACGTTATTAGACCTTATTAGACCCATTTCACTTGGTGCAGGTATAGGTGTGGTTCTTGTGTCTTGACACGCAGCCTCAGGTATAGGTGTGGTTCTTGTGTCTTGACGTGCAGCCTCAGGTATAGGTGTGGTTCTTGTGTCTTGACGCGCAGCCTCAGGTATAGGTGTGGTTCTTGTGTCTTGACATGCAACCTCAGGTATAGGTCTTGTGTCTTGACCCGCAGCCTCAGGTATAGGTGTGGTTCTTGTGTCTTGACACACAGCCTCAGGTATAGGTGTGGTTCTTGTGTCTTGACATGCAACCTCAGGTATAGGTGTGGTCTTGTGTCTTGACACGCAGCCTCAGGTATAGGTGTGGTTCTTGTGTCTTGACATGCAGCCTCAGGTATAGGTGTGGTTCTTGTGTCTTGACATGCAGCCTCAGGTATAGGTGTGGTTCTTGTGTCTTGACAAGCAGCCTCAGGTATAGGTGTGGTTCTTGTGTCTTGACAAGCAGCCTCAGGTATAGGTGTGGTTCTTGTGTCTTGACGCGTCGTAGCCTCAGGTATAGGTGTGGTTCTTGTGTCTTGACGCGCAGCCTCAGGTATAGGTGTGGTTCTTGTGTCTTGACACACAGCCTCAGGTATAGGTGTGGTTCTTGTGTCTTGACATGCAGCCTCAGGTATAAGTGTGGTTCTTGTGTCTTGACGCGCAGCCTCAAACTCACTAATCACTCTTATCACACCCACCTTCACTCACGCACACTAAAACACTTCTACCAACTCCCACCACACCCCTCTCTCTCTGTCACTCACTCACTCACTCCAGAAAAAATGCAGTAGTTTTTATAAACATTTCTCTGGCGTTGCGGTGGAAATTGTTTTGTATTTCTCAAAACAAATTCTGAAATGTTCTGTCTCAAACAAAATTCACAGGATAGATTGTGGACCATTTCATCCAGATTGTGTTTAAGTAGAGAAGGATGCATTTGAAGGTTAAAGGTGTAAATGTCTGACCCTGAGGTTTGACTGAGATTTCCCTGTTGATGGACAACAAGACAAGATGCTGATTAAGATGATCTTATTGACTGTTACATGTTATTTGTTACATCATGGTATCTTTATGACCAAGTGTTGTGAAGTTTTGTAAAAAAGATTAAGTTTCGAATAAATTATGATATGCTAATTTTTGCTTTTCCGTCTTGTGTACAGTACACCCTTATATGAAGTATGATTAGCTCGCTCGCTTGCTCACTCACTCACTTACTGTGTAAACCCTTGAATGAGATCGGATTAATTCAGTCACAGAATTGTACAGATGTCACTAATGTGTGGTGACAGTGTTCTCAGCTAAGTGACCGCCTCCGTGGTGTAGTGGTTAGAGCGTCCACCCGGAGAGCGGAAGGTCGCGGGTTCGATCAAATACCGCGTCATACCAAAAGACGTTAAAATATGGTACTTGTTGGTCCCTGCCTGGCGCTCGGCATTAATGGGTACAACAAGGACTGGTCGGCTCAGAGTCAGTATAATGTGTCTGAGTGGGGTATTCATGCTTAACTGCGGCATGGTATTTCAGTGGGCTCGCACTATAAAATCAGCTTCAGTCTGGGCTAGTACAAGCAGCCGCGCATACACATACACACGCATGCACGTCGTCATATGAGCGAAATATTCTCAAGCACAACGTTAAACCCAAGTTCACCTCACCTCACTCTGAGCTAAGTTAGTTTTAGCTACCTGCAAACAGATTGAAGACGCTCTGTGGATGTACATTGAGGTTGTATTATTGATCATATTTGTATCAGATTTGGATCATATCATTTGGATCATGTCAGTGGAGTTCGTGAGACTGATATCCCACGCAGTGACCTTTGGTCCTGTAAGATAGCCTGTCACCCTGATGGCTGTGACAAGACTAATAGTGTAGAATGTGTATGGCAAGATGGATGCATCCAGTTAGGGTCCATCTCAAAAGCTGAGAAATATTAAAATGAAAATCAAAAATAGGATAATAAATTGCTGATACTTCCAAAACTTAATTGATCCATGTGTTTGCAATGCTAAAAAAACTACATGAGTCGACAAATTTTGAATATGTATGATGACTTTACGTGACCTGCACCCTTTTGTCCTGAAAGTTTATTAAATGACCATTGAAACTCTCATGCAAATGAAGTGTGCACCCCCCACCCCACCCTCCCCCTTTCTCAAAACGCTGTGTCCGCCCCTGAAAAGATCAAGATCACCCCTGCTATCCCAGTTAACATCTGGAGGCTTCACTGGATTATGAAGGAAGGAAAAGATGCAGTTGAGTTTTGATACAAACCCTTGCTAAATATTGTAATGGCTGCAGTGAATATTGTTGTGTTTGGCTGTGGCCGGATGGGGAGTGTACACTTGACAACCCTGGCTGGGTTGACCGGGGTGAGGATCAAGTGGGTGGTTGATGAAGCAGGCGTCCACCCCAGGGTCCAGCAGGTGCTTGAATCCCTCCGACTGCAGACCACAAACATTGCTGACATCGCAGACATTGACACAGTCCTGGGAGACAAGGAGTGAGTGTGATGTCAGGTGTCCAGGTGGGGGATGTTTCAAATGAGTAAAGTTTGCTTTTTCGCTTGTTCAACAACTTGCTAAACAAAAATCTACCTAGTGGCAACCTGTTAATAACTTCAGTCTGGACCATAAAAAGTGGTGATTAAAAATATGAGCAACAAGCTTATCATCTGGACCAGAACGTACATAACTGCAGCCCAGCTCATTTCAGGTATCCATCTTAAGCTTATAATGAATGTAAAACATCTGATAAAATGAATTCATGAATAATAAACTGAAAAATGTTTTTAAATTATTTGGGCTGTTTTCTTTGTCCTCTGGTGCAATGTGACTAAACCTGTTTGCTTCCAAGGGTGACGAGTGTGGTGATCTGTACCCCTGCCTCAACCCACGAGTCCCTGATACAGGCTGCACTAAAGGCAGGTATGTCACACACTAGACCCAGGTATGTCACACACTAGACCCAGGTATGTCACACACTAGACCCAGGTATGTCACACACTAGACCCAGGTATGTCACACACTGGACACAGGTATGTCACACACTGGACACAGGTATGTCACACAGGTATGTCACACACTGAACACATGTATGTCACACATGTATGTCACACAGCTATGTCACACACTGGACCCAGGTATGTCACACACTGAACACATGTATGTCACACACTAGACCCAGGTATGTCACACAGCTATGTCACACACTGGACCCAGGTATGTCACACACTGGACACAGGTATGTCACACACTGGACACAGGTATGTCACACACTGGACACAGGTATGTCACACACTGGACACATGTATGTCACACACTGGACACAGGTATGTCACACACTGAACACAGGTATGTCACACACTGGACCCAGGTATGTCACACACTGAACACAGGTATGTCACACTGAACACATGTATGTCACACACTGGACACAGGTATGTCACACACTGGACACATGTATGTCACACACTGGACACATGTATATCACACATTGGACACAGGTATGTCACACACTGAACACAGGTATGTCACACAGGTATGTCACACAGGTATGTCACACACTGAACACATGTATGTCACACACTGAACACATGTATGTCACACATGTATGTCACACAGCTATGTCACACACTGGACAGAGGTATGTCACACACTGAACACATGTATGTCACACACTGAACACATGTATGTCACACACTGAACACAGGTATGTCACACACTGAACACATGTATGTCACACACTGAACACATGTATGTCACACACTGAACACAGGTATGTCACACACTGGACCCAGGTATGTCACACACTGAACACAGGTATGTCACACTGAACACATGTATGTCACACACTGGACACAGGTATGTCACACACTGAACACATGTATGTCACACACTGGACACATGTATGTCACACACTGGACACATGTATGTCACACACTGGACACATGTATGTCACACACTGAACACATGTATGTCACACACTGGACACATGTATGTCACACACTGGACACATGTATGTCACACACTGGACACAGGTATGTCACACACTGAACACATGTATGTCACACACTGGACCCAGGTATGTCACACACTGGACCCAGGTATGTCACACACTGAACACATGTATGTCACACACTGGACCCAGGTATGTCACAGGTATGTCACACACAGGTATGTCACACACTGGACACATGTATGTCACACACTGGACCCAGGTATGTCACACACTGAACACAGGTATGTCACACACTGGACCCAGGTATGTCACACTGTACTCAGGTATGTCACACACTGAGCATAGGTACATCAAACACTGAACACAGGTATGACACACTGAACACAAATATGACATACATGGAACACATGTATGTCACACACTGAACACAGGTATGACACACACTGAACATGGATATGACACAATGAACACAGGTATGACACACACTGAACACAGGTATGACACACACTGGACACAGGTATGACACACTGAACACAAATATGACACACATGGAACACAGGTATGTAACACACTGAACGCAGGTATGTCACTTACTGAACACAGGTATGACACACACTGAACACAGGTATGACACACACTGAACACAGGTATGACACACTGGACACAAATATGACACACGAAACACGCATGTAACACTGAACGCAGGTATGTCACTCACTGAACACAGGTATGACACGCACTGGACACAGGTATGACACATACTGAACACAGGTATGACACACACTGGACACACTGTTATCACACATAAGACAGGTATATTGTTAAGTTCCATATATATTACATATATCTGTGTTCAAGGAAAGCATGTGTTCTGTGAGAAGCCCATCGGTCTGAGCAGTGATAGTGTGACGTCCAGCTACCGACTCGCAGCTGAGAAGGGCCTGACACTGTACTGTGGCTTCCAGAGGTGAGATATAGCTGTGTGTAGCCTGTATAGTAGAACATCCAGCTACCGACTCACAGCTGAGAAGGGCCTGACACTGTACTGTGGCTTCCAGAGGTGAGATATGGCTGTGTGTAGCCTGTATAGTAGAACATCCAGCTACCGACTCACAGCTGAGAAGGGCCTGACACTGTACTGTGGCTTCCAGAGGTGAGATATGGCTGTGTGTAGCCTGTATAGTAGAACATCCAGCTACCGACTCACAGCTGAGAAGGGCCTGACACTGTACTGTGGCTTCCAGAGGTGAGATATGGCTGTGTGTAGCCTGTATAGTAGAACATCCAGCTACCGACTCGCAGCTGAGAAGGGCCTGACACTGTACTGTGGCTTCCAGAGGTGAGATATGGCTGTGTGTAGCCTGTATAGTAGAACATCCAGCTACCGACTCGCAGCTGAGAAGGGCCTGACACTGTACTGTGGCTTCCAGAGGTGAGATATGGCTGTGTGTAGCCTGTATAGTAGAACATCCAGCTACCGACTCGCAGCTGAGAAGGGCCTGACACTGTACTGTGGCTTCCAGAGGTGAGATATGGCTGTGTGTAGCCTGTATAGTAGAACATCCAGCTACCGACTCGCAGCTGAGAAGGGCCTGACACTGTACTGTGGCTTCCAGAGGTGAGATATGGCTGTGTGTAGCCTGCCCCAGAAATATCATAGGTTTGAATGCTTCTTTGGTCTATTTTTTGTTCAACGTTCACAACAATGCCAGTATGTGTTTTCTATCCATATTCAGTGTTCAGGCCATTGTAGATAAAATAGTGTAGTATTAATTCCATCTTGTTCTCCATAATTGCTGATGAAAGGATGATTGTGTTGCAAATTAATTACTCTTCCAAATCGGTCAACTCACTATTTCATGTTTCAAGTTCCCTAATATTTAGAACAAATTGTATTATTTTCTATCTTCGACATCACAAGAGAATGTGTACCGCAGAAAACTCTGTTGTATATTAACTGTGATATGTTATCCCCCTGCTCTTCCATATCAGTTAGTGCGGTGGGGTAGCCTAATGGTTAAAGCGTTGGCTCGTCACGCCGAAGGCCAGGGTTCGAATCCCCACATGGGTACAATGTGTGAAGCCCATTTCTGGTGTCCCCCGCCGTGATATTGCTGGAATATTGCTAAAAGCGGCGTAAAACCAAACTCAGTCAGTCCATATCAGTTATATATTTCACAATAGCTTTATTCTAGCAGTATGTTCAATGTCCCAGAGAGTGAAAGCAGTAAAAAGTACTCATTAAGGGATTTACAATACATCTTCCAACAGACGAAAGGATGCAGATTTCAGTCAAGTATGCACCAAGATCAGACAGGGTGTCATTGGCACGCTACGCTTAATCAAGGTCACGTCGAGAGATGGCCCATCCCATAATACGGCGGACTTCCTCAAACACTCAGGTATGGGATATACCTCCTCCCCTGTTCACTCTTTCTCTGCCTTCCCTGCATCTACCATCATACCTTCATGAATGGTGATCGTACTTGCATCAACAGACGAACCAGACATTATCAGACGAGTGTGTTTTAATATGATAAGTTATGATAATACAAGTGGTAATATTGTCCTGTAGGTAGATTCCCAATACCTAATACTTGTCACATGAATAAGTTTGGGATGAGGTGTGGCGCACAATGTGTGCTCACTTACTCACTCACTCATTCTGTCTCTCACTCATTCTCTCTCTCTCACTCATTCTCTCTCTCTCTCTCTCTCTCTCATTCTCTCTCTCTCTCCCTCATTCTCTCTCTCACTCTCACTCTCACTCTTTCTCTCTCTCACTCATCTCTCTCTCTCTCTCACTCATTCACTCTCTCTCACTCATTCTGTCTCTCTCACTCTCCCTCATTCTCACTCATTCTGTCTCTCTCACTCTCACTCATTCTCTCTCTCATTCTCTCTCACTCTCACTCACTCATCTCTCTCTCTCTCTCTCTCCCTCATTCTCTCTCTCTCTCTCTCTCACTCATTCTGTCTCTCTCACTCTCACTCATTCTCTCTCTCTCTCCCCCATTCTCTCTCTCTCTCCTCATTCTGTCTCTCTCACTCTCACTCATTCTTTCTCTCTCATTCTCTCTCTCACTCACTCATTCTCTCTCTCATTCTCTCTCTCACTCATTCTCTCTCTCACTCATTCTCTCTCTGACTCATTCTGTCTCTCTCTCTCTCATTCTCTCTCTCTCTCACTCATTCTCTCTTTCTCTCTCACTCATTCTGTCTCTCTCTCTCTCTCTCTCTCTCTCTCTCTCTCTCTCACTCATTCTGTCTCTCTCTCACTCTCCCTCATTCTCTCTCTCTTTCTCATTCTGTGTCTCTCTCACTCATTCTCTCTCACTCATTCTGTCTCTTTCTCACTCTCCCTCATTCTCTCTCTCTCATTCTCTCTCTCACTCTCACTCATTCTCTCTCTGTGACTCATTCTGTGTCTCTCTCTCTCACTCATTCTCTCTCTCTGACTCATTCTGTCTCTCTCTCTCTCACTCATTCTCTCTCTCTCACTCTCTCTCTCTCACTTCTCTCTCTGTGACTCATCTCTCTCTCTCTCTCTCTCTCTCTCTCTCACTCATTCTCTCTCTCTCACTCATTCTGTCTGTCTCTCTCTCTCACTCATTCTGTCTCTCTCTCACTCATTCTCTCTCTCTCTCACTCATTCTGTCTGTCTCTCTCTCTCACTCATTCTCTCACTCTCTCACTCATTCTGTCTCTCTCTCTCTCACTCATTCTCTCACTCTCTCACTCATTCTGTCTCTCTCTCTCTCTCTCACTCATTCTCTCTCTCTCTCTGTTACTCTTCAGGTGGACTATTTCTGGACAGCTGCGTCCACGACTTGGATGTTGTGTGCTGGTTGGCTGGGGAACGCCCCCTGACTTTAGTTGCGTATGGCCACGCCCATGAAGAGATGTTTGCGGAGTGCCAGGATGTAGACATGACTTCTATCATGGTCAAATTCCCCAGCGGTACCATAGCAACCATAGACAACTCCCGGATTGGAGCAGAGTATGGCTACGACCAGAGGCTTGAGGTACAATATGACTGTTGTCGTGTGCAAACACAGTATCTTTACCAGCTGATTCAAAGTTATACATTTCATCTGTCAAGCCATGGCAGTTTGACAGTATGAAGGATGTCAGATGTTGATATGTTGGGTTGCCATGGAAACCATTTACACAGACATCTGACCAGAGGCTGGGCGTATGGATATATATTGCCATGGAGACCATCATAGCAGCAATATTTAGACTAACATACAGTCTCTGAAATGAACATATTTTACAGAAAAAACAATTCTTAAATTGTCTTAGTAAAAATATAATGAAGAGAAGCCCAAATCTTATATATAGACTTGCATGACTACAGCCATATAGTAAATGTAATTTAATCCAACATTGAGCCATTGTAGTCCTACTATGGTCCAAATGTATGCTACAAAACTGTTAATAATTTTTGAACACATTGTACAATTCTAACTGCATTCTAAGCATTTGTTCATGAAGCTCTGTCAAAAATGATCATACAAGTTGTTTATGAAAAAGGTGGGCATAACCTGCCCTACTAGTTTCACCTGTTGCAAACACATGCAAAGGCAAGGCAATTCTTCATCTGAACAAATACGGTGAGTAAGTGAGTGAGTGTGGTTTTCCGCCGTCTTTAGCAATATTTCAGGTATATCACACCAAGCAACGCAGAAATGGGCTTCACACTTGTACAAATGTGGGAAACGAAACTGGGTCTTCAGCTATTAGGCTACCCCACTGCCCCATTAAACACAGGAAATTAAGGCTGAAGGGGTCGTGTCGGCACAGGTACTACAGATATGTACCCCAGGTACGTTTCTGTATACAGACATGTACCCTAAACAAAGTGAAAATACAGAAACGTACCCGGTACCCTAAACGACGGACGAGTCCATATTCTGCGACCCAATACCGAAACCGTATGTAGTTATTCCCGTTCAGCTGATTGCGAGTGGTGTACGTTGTGCACCGTGAAATATTCGTTATACTGTGTATGCTCTTATATAACGCAATCAAATGCATCTAATACAACAGTATGACAGTTCCGATCAAGAAAACTCCACAATGCAGAATGGTATCATCCTAGGGTACATTTCTGTATTCTGATTATGGCCAGGGTACATTTCTGTATACAGAAACGTACCTGGGGTACACATATGTAGTACCCGTGCCGACGACCCTTTCAGCGAAATTAAGGTACCAGATAAAATAGGAAATTGCTACTGAGATCCTTTTTGTGACTGATGTGTCAAGTTAGGAAACGTCTCTCACATTTTGTTTTCAGTAAGTTAACGGCATGGGGGCATTATCTGTCTTTCCCTATGACCTGTCAATCCTTTACTTGGCATTTGACTTCTGTTTGTAACTGAAGGGATGAGGTTGAAAATACGATGTCTGCCACTTTTGATGATTTCGTTCACTTTGTTTTGTTGAAACAGCTTGCTTAAACATCTTGACAGTGAGTTATGATCTACAGCATTGTAGAAATTCAGAATACTGCAGATTTGTCGTACCTGTCATAGAGTAAACCATTTCAATAAGTTTCTGTAAAACTTCATATATTCAAACAACATAATTGTTTCAATATATATCCAAAGTGCACCTAAATTTTATCCCCTTTGGCTGTTTAATGTATTCAGCAGTCATTCAGTGTAGCCCTCTTATCATAAACCCCCCCTCCGGGCAGGACCCTTAATTCTTACTGCTATCAGTAAATGCCAATTAACACCTCTCTACGTCCGCGGATCTTACTATAACGTGATGTATAAAACCTGACTGACATGGTCACTCGAAAAGATCAGTCAGAGATGAGGCGAGGAGACGGGCCAAGATCATCGACAGAAGCGGATAAGTCGACGATGAAGAATTATCACCGTCGGACTTCTGAAAGTGTGTATGTGACAGAGCGGGTCCCGATCTGCGTTCTGTCACGTGATTTACATCTTATGTACGATTTCTACCATTATTATCCAACCACAATAGACATGGCTGCTCCTGTCTTCAACTCTACTGCTGACTTTGTCTTCTATTTAGTGTCCCCCATCCTGAACTACCAACCGAGAGTAACCCGACGAACGCTCTTGGACACACCAATAAAAGTTATAAAAACCCAAACTTTTAAACAAATATTAGAACATACAAGTTTATACAGTGAAGCCTCGTTAATCCGGACGGTTGCGTTTCTCAGCAAATTCGTCCGGATTGCGAATAGTCCAGACTGAATCAAGACCCAAGTTCAAGCAAGAGCTTCTTCCTTTACTATTACAAAAACGACACGAATCTGGATAAAATAAATAACTTTGATTGTCTTTAAGAATCGTCTCCTCAGGACGAACTAGGAAGTCCCCGAGTGTGGGACTTCCATCAATGTATACAGGCAATGATGGAGTATGTGTAACTTCATGTAATACCTTAATATCAAGAATATTGAAATAAAACATTCTTCAGCTGTGGAAAATATGAGCTTTTGGGGTGCATTTTATAGGGCTGGTCCTTGTGAACAGCACCTGCAGCATGAGTTGCATGAAACACAGGGAGAACACCGTACCATCTCCGATATCAGGTTGCGTTTTTGAGACCATTTTCTGGGTTCCATTCTGAGTTTGGGAAGGAATGTCTTTGCTTAGGTAAAGTTGGACATGTTGTAAAAAATATACAATCAAAACATTAAATGAGTTTACAGTTATTCGTTTCTGCGATGGAAAATTCCAAACTGATGTTTCTTTTGCCGCTTAGTATATATAGATCTCAAACTATGTGTACATTGTACTCCGGCAGGTACTGGGCTCTTCGGGGATGTTAAAGATCGAGAATCCCCGGACCAGTAACGTACAACAGTGGGGCGATGTCGGGACGGTGCTCGCTCCAATGATCCACGACGGAGTACAGCGATACCTGGCAGCTTACAGGAAGGAGATGGGCCACTTCATTGACATTGTTAAAGGTGATACCAAGTTTTACTGTAAATGGGCTCAGAACATATTTTGTGAGGAAAATTTTCCTATTTATGTGTTTTGATCATGATGTAATACTGTGTTTATCATGAATACACAATGTAATTTAGAAAGTGGTCAAATGTAACATGTTATATTTGACATTACACATTCTCAGTACAGACTCTTTTAGTCCCATCCGATATTCTACCCATACTCTCAGAGGTGAGGTGAGGTGAAATTGGGTTTAACGTCGTGCTTGAGAATATTTTCGCTCATATGACGACGTGCATGCGTGTGTATGTGTAGGTGCGGCTGCTTGTACTAGCCCAGACTGAAGCTGGTTTTATGGTGCTAGCCCACTGAGATACCATGCCGCAGTGAAGCATGAATACCCCACTCAGACACATTATACTGACTTCGAGCCGACCAGTCCTTGTTGTACCCATTAGTGCCGTGTGCCAGGCAGGGACCAACAAGTACCATATTTTAACGTCTTTTGGTATGACGCGGTCGGGGATCGAACCCGCAACCTTCCGCTCTCCGGGCAGACGCTTTAACCACTACACCACGGAGGCGGTTCACACTCTCAGAGGGAAGCAACTATTGGCTAGCATACGAAATAAGCGATCAAACCCACTCAGCCACCACGGCTTCAGCTCATCACTACAATACTTCAGCTCATCACTACAAAACTTCAGCTCGGATCACTGACCCAATGTAGCTACATACGAAGAAGTTCTTATCTTTTGACCTGGGTGCCATTGTACAAGCGATTTTAGCGCTAAGGTGACCGTAACTCCCATACCTTAATATAGACTAAGGTAGTCTTAGCGTTCAGGTTGTTTTGTACAAAGGCACCCTGATAGAAATATATATCTGTGACTGTTATAGGTGAGAGAGAGTGTGACATGACTGCTGAGAGTGTCATCACAGTCAGCCAGATGGTGGAACTCTGCCAGGAGTCTCTCCACGCTGGGGGCTCTCACTGCCTCTGCCGCAGCTCCAAATATAGGCTCCACAGACAGCTCCATGTGCAGGCTCCACACGCTGGCTAATTATAATCTTGATCGGATGTGATAAACAGATATTAATTTTGTCATGTCATTATTGTTTTCACTGTTATTAAGAAACGGTCAATAAAACATCAACCTCATTTGTTAATTGTTCCATATCAAGCAGTGTCAGACATGTAAGTATGGAAACTCACTCTGGATGGATTTTATGCCACTGATCCACTTAGATGAAGCTAATTATGAGTGAGTGAGTTAGACTTAAACCAATAGTATTTCAGTTATACCTACACCTACATTTGGAGGATAGCCCACAGCAAAGCAGCTGAAGAATGATTTCAACTCTAACGCCTTTGAGTGGCATTTAGAGTGAGTGAGTGAGTTTGGTTTTACGTCGCTTTCAGCAATATTCCAGCAACATCACGGCGGGGTACATCAGAAATTGGCATCACACATTGTACCCATGTGGGGAAGCGAACCCGGGTCTTCGGCATGACGAGTGAACTCTTTAACCACTAGGCTACTCCACCACCCCGAGTGGCATTTAGAAGTTGGCGGGACTCGCTTTATAACGGTGTTAGCATCTACACGGAAATATCGCTTACATTAACAAAGAAGTTGTATATATCCATACAACTTTCCCCGTTGTTGATTTCACCTTTGATGAAACCTCAGAGCAAAGTTTGGGTGATAATCAAGGTGGATTCAAACCCATGATCACTGGATCCAGGATTCGGCTCCTCGGACCATTGGGCCACCAGTGTCAGTGTTTAAGGTAAGAGAGATTTCCAAGTTGGTGGAGATTGATCATTCCTGCAGGTTCTTGTCATAGACTAGATTCAACACAGGACATCAAATGGTCCTGCAGAGGAAGAACATATTCTGGACAGGACATCTAATTGTCCTAGCAGAGGAAGAACATATTCTGGACAGGACACCTAACTGTCCTAGCAGAGGAAGAAAAGATTCAACACAGGACATCTAATTGTCCCAGCAGAGGAAGAACAGATTCAACACAGGACACCTAACTGTCCTAGCAGAGGAAGAAAAGATTCAACACAGGACATCTAATTATCCTAGCAGAGGAAGAACACACAAAGCCAAGTTTATTTATAAAAATAAGATTTATTGACAAATGCATACATGGTTCATAAATGCCAGCAAGTACGTAAGCATACAGAAACAATGACGGCAAGATCGTCATCAATCTAACTTTAAAAAGAACATATATAGAATAAAGTTCACAAACATGGACGATAGTTTCTGTAATACATATTTGTAAGAAATAAGATATTCAAATTGAAAATTTCTTCCAGAAAGTCTTATTGCTACAATGTAGGGCTCCCCTACAGACAACAAACACTGAGGAAATGTTCACACTAGCGAACCTCAGTTGTGAAGAAATACATAAAATGATCACCAAAAGAAACTACAGCCTGTATACATTGATTAAACATGATAAAATACCTGCATCCTCAACTAACCAATGTCCATCTCAACACTCAACAAAACACGAACTTCGTGGTTGTCAAAACTGACTTTGGTGTGGATGAGATAAATAACCTTGATTAGTGAGAATGATACATTTGATATCTCGTGTTATATTGATGGAATGCTTCTGATGACTGACAAAAAAATTCACAGATCTATTAACAGTATCAACAGTGTTTCTGGAAGAAAACTATGTTTATCAACGTTCTCCGGATAACACGTAAAATTGTTAGTAGATATTTGTGTTGTTGAAAACACTGATTCTGTAATCCATGGGTGTAACTCACAACTATATCTTAAAGTTCTACTATCAGATAAACTACAGTAGGTCAAATGGAAATTGATAAGAATTGTCAACAATTGCTGTGAACTGGATACTCGTTTCGTCTCAACTTTAGGAACTGGGAGTGAACTGATGCCTGATTAAAACTTCACAACTGGTAGGGTATATTTCTACAACTTCACACAAATAATACCAGTGACAACTGCATGACTTAAACTTTGTTACATTGATAAGTCTAGAATGCTTATATTTCTTGTATTATGGATACACTGATCTGATTTTTCCTTGATTAAACAATGAATAAAAAATAAAACATTAGGATCATGTTTTTTTAACATTTCTGCTGATTACAATTTTCGAAATAAAATGCTGTTATTACAACAGCCCCTCAGTTTGTTCGCTACAGCAGTGTAGCAGGATATCGGCTGTAGAACATTTCGTTGATAATATGTTTGTCAGGGAGTTGGTTTTAGTACTATACAACAGGTGATAGTGACACACAGCCACTGTCAAGAGGACACAACTCTAGGTAAAATAAAATACATCTCACAACCATGTACACAAACTGACAGGTTCGTGAATGAGCTCAATCTAAGAAGCAAACACATATTTCTTTCGCAACATTAAAAGCGATTGGGAACTTAAAATTTGACATCATATGGACCATCCAGCAATGTGATAAAACAGGTTAAATTTGAAGAATTGTAAAAAACCCACAAAATATGCAAGATTAGTTTTGAAAGAGTAACAATACGGGATGTTTGGGAGAAGTTTCAGAGCGAGTGAGTTTGGTTTTACGCCGCTTTTAGCAATATTCCAGCAACATCACGGCAGGGGACATCAGAAATGGGCTTTGCACAATGTACCCTTGTGGGGATTCGAACCCAGGTCTTCGGCGTGAGGAGCCAATGCTTTAACCACTAGACTTCCCCACCGCCCCTGAAGTTTCAGAACAATATTTGATAAGATTAAATAGAACACACCACAAGCACAATCACCTAAATAACAGCTAACTGTCAAGCAGTGCTCTGTGTCACTTGCAGGTGCTCTGAAGGTCACAGGTCATTCTGAAGGTCACGCTGACATGAGGTCAGTCTGATACAGAGAAGGCTCAGAGGTCGACAGATTCTTGCTTCTTCACCTATTTACGTTACAATGCTCTAGATTATACATCACACTACAAATTAATACGACTATATGATCAGTGAAATGACAAACCCAATGAATTTGATTATCTGACTTTAGGAATTAGGAGTATGAGCTATTGGAGGAACGCCAACAGGAACCGACCACTGGATACTCTGGAGGGGGGTGGGGTCGGGTGTTTTCTTAAAAGATGGTTTGTTACGGAGAATCTTGATAAAAATATTTTGGATACAAATTTTCCAAATAATGTTTGCTGGACATCCACAGTTTCTGAAGAAAAGGTTTAAAACCTTTTTGGCTCATCTTTCAGTCTTGAACAAGTATGTAACCACCCCTCCTCCCCTAATGAAAAATAGTTCGGTCCTTAGTTGTTTCATGTTTCCATCCTCACATCTGAAATTCAAATGCAGATGTCTGCACAGGATGTTTATTTACATATTTAAACCATGATTACAAATGAAGTGCAAAGTTTGCAGAACTACCAGCCGGCATAGAAAAGGACAGAACTAAACCCTTGACCTCATACTGCTCAGAATTCCTTTATGCTCATTAAGGGCTGGTAAAGCTACAAGAAAGGCCCCTATAAATGGCAATGCAAATATACAGATGGTAAATGCCTTGAAAGCATATTGGCGAGAAAATTTCTGACACAAAGAGTGTGAGCAGCCTGAGGTCAAGGTCACTACAAGCTAACTAAACACAGACACTACGCTAAGCTGTACATGTGGAGAGCATATCTCAAGCGAGCCACTCGTGTAAGGCAGCACAATAATACAAAATACAAATAAAAAAGGTCAAGGTCACGACATTGGCAGGAGGGATCCAGCTGAGGCCTCTGGAAGCACCATCGTCACTGTGCTCAGGAGAACACCAAAATTCAGGTCGTCAGCCAATGACTGAGACCGGAATGTTTGGGCTTGTCAAGGTTTATGGAGCACACAAGCACCAAGGCTCCTCAACTGAAGGAGCTCCAACACTGCACACATTAACACAGTGTTCTGTGAAGCATAGGATGAAAATGTCACGTCAGCAGCATCTGTCACTGCAGAGTGAGTGAGTACGGTATGATCCCCTCCAGTTGGGTTGAAATTGTTTGAACTGTAAGTCATTAAGTGAGATCACAACAGTAAACAAATTGTTTAAAATAGGCCAAAAATTGGACTGAATGTTTTCTGCCAAGTCAACAATATTCAAGCTGCGTTATGGCAGATGTAAATGATCAAGTCTGGACAAGACAATCTTGACTTGTGTCACATCACAGGCCACATCTTTCTGTGAATCTATGAGAGGACAACATTTGTGATTCAATAAACGTCCACTTTGACCAGGTCTACATTTAATGCTCCCCTTTCAAAAGGGTTGCAATAATGATTACTCAAGGACATCATGTTCACCTTCATGTCCAGAATGTCTACATCAGCTCCCCTCCTATTGGGCCGATGTATTACATGAGGACATCGTGTCCACCAAAAGTTTGCAAGCAATGCTATTGCTCCATTCCTAGAGAGCTGCAGTCAGTATTTGACAAGGACATCGTGTCTACAGACACTGCTCCTGCAGTGTGTATTAAAGCCAGGGATGAGACCACAGCTGATACAAACCCCCTGCCTCTGTCGGAATCCTCTATATACAGCACCCCTAAAACCCACACTATAATGAGGTCATTCTGCACATCTGGGCAGTAGGGTGAAGAGTGAGTTGACTTTACACTGCTTCACATGAAGCATCAGAAGAAGCACAGTTTGTCCAATGTATAGCTTTTACACATTTTATACATTTTGGAGAAAATCTAGAAATCTGCAAATACATTAACTGTATGGCTATCGCAACTAAGGTTAAGTGGGTGAGTATGCTTTTACATTGCTTTTAGCAATATTCCAGTGATATCACGGCAGGAGACACCCGAAATGGGCTTCACCCCTGACGAGTGAATGGCTTAATCACAATGCTATCCCAATGCCCCCTACTAAGGCTGAAACTCTTCTTGGAAGGTACAAGTTCATAAAGGGACACTTATTTCTACTAACAGACCAATTTGAAGCTAAATTAAAAAAACCCAAAACAACCTAACTGTTCTCACTCCATCATCCTGCTCTGCCCAGACGTGACAAGGATTCCTCCACATTGGGAAACTCAACCAATAAATAAACAAAGGAATGCAAGGAATTAGCTTCATGGATGTGACACCTACGCAGTCTAGCACACCGAGGAATGGATAGAACACTCAGATCTACAAACATGCATGGACTACCCCTAAAACCGGGGAGATATTTACAGTATAACACGGAATACAGTCTGATACACACTACACAACTTCATACTACTTGTCCTGCTACTAATTATAACTGCAGTGATGTATTTACGGCTCTTGAAAAAATTTTTTTTGTTGATGTAAAATTGTTTATAATATGTAATGGTAAGCAATATTTTTATAAAAATGAATATTAAATTTTTCTTAATAGTACGATGGGTAAAGTTGGGGAAAAACAAATACAATGTCAAATACAATCATTGGTACATGTAACAGGTATATGGTGAGATTTAGATAGAATTGATACTTATAGATATATGACTAACATGAGCATGCAAAGGACAAAGATTTCTCTACATCACAACAGGTGCTACATGCTCAAGAATGTCTATTTCCAAACTCTGCAGATGATGTTGTGGAGGTAGTGACATGTATACCTGATGAAGATGCTGTCATTTCTGGGATGTCACTGTTGATGCAGGCACCACTAACATGTACCGCGTACCACTACCATGTACCTTGAAGTACCCTGAGACATTGGTTAAATTGTTCCCATGTTGGGAATCAAAACCCAGGTCTAGAGTGAGACAAGCTAATTCTTTCACATCACCCACTATTGATTCTGATCGTTTGGTCCTGTACAAACATGGTGTACTGGTCAGGCTCATGGCTCGCTGCAAATACTCAGCCTTCAGCCACCTCAAAGGTACATTAAATTTCGGACGTATCACGGTACACTATGTAGTATCCCCTCTCAACCACCCCAAAAGAATCCTTGGATGGTCATGGCTGATATATTGCTTTATAATAATCATATTTTCCAATCATTTCACTTTCATCCCTCGTTTCCATGACACTTGCAAAAGCCAGAAACGTTTGGTTTTACGACAAACAGCAGAGCATCATACACCCAACAACTTCCACCTGAGATCTGTTATTAGATTCTTAAGGGACAACGTCAGCCATTCGGGAGTACAGTCTCCTGGCACTCAGACATGATTACCGTAGTTGTTGTATTTAACGCCCTGAGGTACTGCTCTGTGCCACATTGTAAACACCACAGACATCAGTTATACATCTTCCATTGCAAGAAGAGAAATAAACAAATGTATAGGTCAGTTTAGAAACTCAACTTCAGAATTTGACAAATTTATCAGAATCTTCCTGACACTTGAAAGGAATAAGTTCCTCGTCCTTCTCATGATGCTAAATACATCAGACACGGTAAACAACTACATTTTCTCCACTGGGAGTTCATCATGGTTTGGGATTTTCAAATAAAATAAACTTGACGAAATAGTAATTGACCAGCATTACACTCTACGAAGGTAAGTTTAGCACTAAGGTGATCACAATGCCCAAACTTTTACATTTGATTTGTAGCGCTCAAATGACGATGTGGCAGGGCCAATCTGGCACTAAGTCTTTACATCTGTGAGCATTGATAAGAAAAGCATTTCCCACTAAAGCACCAAACACACCTATGTCTGGTTACCATGGTTACACAGGAATGACGGGAGGACACCATGCAGTGTTATACACATTTGTTCTGTTAGCTAAGTATTCAGGTAAGGTGGCAGAGATTGAGAGGACATGTCCTGTGCATGGTAGGGTGTGGGTGGCTATTGAGTTATATTAATGCACCAGCTTTAGAGGACCTGTACTACGCTTGTGTTGTCAGCATTCTACTAATTAATGGACATATAAATGAGTTGTCATTTAACAAGACAAAGTTTAACTAAGCGGAGGCAGAACAGACCACTGCTAGGACACATGCAACAGGAGAGCTACAGAAATAATGCCCATGTTATATGTTGCTGTCTTCAAACCACATCTACGTCACCATTTATTGCGTTTTGTCACAGGGAACTGCGGCCATCGAACCGGGGTGAGTCTGAACATTTGTGTCAAGTCACACCAGAACTCGACCTTCCGACAACACATTGTGCCACATTTCTCACACACATCACACATTCTCATCACCAAGTATCATTTATAATCGAAACATATGCAATACCACAAAATCATATTCTCCAAGCTCTTTTTGAAATTTTCAAGATCCAATGAGCTTAAGTTTGTTACACTTCAAATGATTAATACATATTACATTAAATGAAAATAGTATTTACAAACTGAATTACATCTGACAGTTTTCAGGTGAAGTTGGCCACACAGGCTGGCATTCCACACATCATTCCACAGCTACGTAATACAAGTACACTCATAAATATAAAGTGTAACAAATATCTACATCCGTTTTCATGACACACTTCAGTGCACACCATAAGCATATATGCATCATTCACAATAATATCATAGTGAAGACTGCCGTATCAAGCCCATAATTCTACAAATTCACCCCAACAATTTGGGCTACTGTGGTCTTTGACCTGCGAGTTCGACCGATCAATACCTACCACTGTCCTATCATCTTCACTGATCAATACATTGTCACTGTCCAATCAACTTCTCCGCTTAATACATTATCACTGTCCAGTCATTTTCACCAATCAATACATTATCATTGTTCAATCAACTTCTCCGATCAATATATTATCATTGTCCAACATGAACTGTTATGCAAGATGTCAAAAATCCTCACAAAATCCAAACTAGTTAAAACATTGTATTAACATATTTATAAAATAGCTGAGCATTTGGTAGATTATTTTTGTTCCCTAAATCACCAACATCGTCATACAATAATACAACATATAGGTTTCAATTGCTAGTACCCAGCTTCTGCTACACACTAGTGACGAAGATGACAGTACTGTATTCAAAGTATTAAGTGCCCTGCTAAATAAACAGACTCCACCGTTTTATCTTTAGAAGTCTTGGCATCATTAACATCCAATGTAGATTTATATGTCAAATATGAAATACTAGTATTAATTATCACCTCTAAAAAGCAATTAAGCTTCACAAGTGCTTCCAAGCTGAATATACATAAGATGATCAAAAGAATTGATGTTTGAATTCTTGTACGTGCTTATTCTTATACTGTTAAATACATAAATACAGCTCTACACATGAACTTGCAGGAAACATACAGATATTGAAAGACTACACAAAGGCACAGTCGTTTGAAAGAACAATTGCATACATAGTTTGTGTTTAAGAAAGCAGTTCCTCTTAGAAACCAATTTACCAAAGTGATCTGATTCTGGCCTTCATTAATCACAAATATTGGTGGATAATTTGATTTTTCTTGGGGTAGTTTGGGCTGGGTTTTTCTCATAAGATGCTGTACTAATTATCTGAACAAAATACTGCTCAGTTATTGCACAAGGGCTAAATCTTGGTGCAAAAAGTCAGGAACATACATGATTTAAAGTGTATGGAAGTCCTGCACTATGTCAGAACATTGAATCAAAAGAACATGTTCTAATTTCATTGTCAACAAACAAAAATGGTTAATGTACAGTTGATATCAAACAGAGGCTGATCCATTCAAAGAGAGGCTGATGATTTCAAAGAGAGGCTGATTGATTCAAAGCGAGGCTGATCCATTCCAACATGGCTGACCAAAGCCTTACAGCTCCAGAATCAAGGCTACTCTGGTGCACTAAACAAATAAACAATTTCACTTTCCAAAAGACATTTCAAGCACTTTCATATCCCACACGGAAATCAATCCCTCCTCAATAGATCTCAATGCCAAGCACTACATGGGGACAACTGTTTGGCCCCTTGAAACCTAAGGCCCATATTCATACTCAAGGAATCTGTCTGAGATCCCTGAAGCCCAAGGCTCATATTCATGCCCAAGGAATATGAGCCCCTAGAAACCTGTGCCAAAATTATTACACAAAGAATCCCAAGTAAGACGAAGTGTAAGTCACATCCAGGTTTCATAACAAGCCTCAAACCGTTTTAAGTTTCTACACTTCTGCTGAATTGTGTGCCCCACAAGTACAACTGAAGCTAGATGTACTCCGACCATGACTACCGTAACTAGGGCGTTATTATCCTGGTAATACTGAAGCGCCCTCTATAGGACTGTAACGATACACTATATAACCATAACATTCTTACCATGACACACGAGTGAAACTTTCACATTTGATGTGTGTAAGGAATGAAAACTGTGGCTTAAATAGTTAAAGACTTAGTAGACTTGAATCAATTCACTAAACAGTGGCAAGTAACCTCTAACATTTCACAATAAATGTTCATACCATTTCGTGTCTCCCTTATACAGATCTGTACAGGTCTGTTCAATGAATGACCACCTGATACCATACTCATTGCACGGTACAGAGTCCTGCCAAACACCAGTACTTGGTGCATCGTTATAGCCCTAGTTGGTCCTTCCATCACGGTTATTTGTTGTCGTGGCGCTGTGTGATTCACTGTTCTTCCTCATCCATGTCCTTCTGCTTCTTCACCTCTCCCTGGTAGGTCACCATGTCCTCTGGCTTCTTCCTCTTGAAGAACCCAAGCTGGAACACGGGAAGGGGCAGTGTCAGTTACAAGGCAGAGAAGGATAAGGCTGGAAGGAGGGTGTGATGGATGGAACGATGAATGGATGGTGTGAGGGACAGATTGATAGGATTGATGGATTGATGGAAGGATAGAGTGATGGAAGGATTGAGTGATGGAAGGATGGATGGACTGACGAAGCGTGGGTGGGGGAACAGATTGATGGAAGGACTGACAAGGGAGTGAAGGAGAGATGGAAGGACTGAAAGAGCGAGAAAAGGAGAGAGTGAGTGAATGAGTTGAGTTTTGCGCTGCACTCAGCAATATTCCAGCTATATGGCGGCGGTCTGTAAATAATCGAGTCTGGACCAGATAATCCAGTGATCAACAGCATGAGCGTCGATCTGCGCAATTGGGAACCAATGACATGTGTCGACCAAGTCAGCGAGCCTGACCACCCGATCCTGTTAGTCGCCTCTTACGACAAACATGGGTTACTGAAGGTTCATTCTAACCCGGACCTTCACGGGTCGAAAAGGAGAGAAGTAAGGATGGATGGATCAGTGTAGGGTGGAAGGATGGAGGGAGGGAGGGAGCAAAGGGAAGAGCGTGTTTTTGAGTAAGGTTTTACACTGTTTTTAGCAATATTACAGCACTATTATGGTGGGGAACACTGAAATGGACTCACACATTGTACCCATGAGGGGAATCGAACCAGGATCTTCGTCGTGATGAGCGGACGCTATAACCACAAGGCTAGTCCACCGCCTCATCACTCTTGCTGGACAACAGTATAAGAATCTATACCAAAACTTCGCATCATATATCATAAAGATGTTGTCATCCATAAAATATCTTGCTTTCTTAGAAGGAAGGATGGATGAATGGATTGAGGGAGGTAGGGAGAGAAAGGGGCTGAGGAACCGCAGTATGAAAGGATGGCTGCAGGTGTTGCTGGCAGAAAGGAGATATAGAACATTAAGCAATAGGTTATTCCAATTATAACTATGATGATGATTATTACCTTCCAGAGCAGCAGAATGAGTCCGGCCAACAGGATGATTCCTGCCAACACTGCCACAACGATGATCCACCACTCCAGGCCAACTGTCTTCTGTTCCTTCACATCCGGGATAGCTATAGTGGTAGCCTACAGACACAATTCAGGATAGCTATAGTGGTAGCCTACAGACACAATACAGGATAGCTATAGTGGTAGCCTACAGACACAATACAGGATAGCTATAGTGGTAGCCTACAGACACAATACAGGATAGCTATAGTGGTAGCCTACAGACACAATACAGGATAGCTATAGTGGTAGCCTGCAGACACAATACAGGGTAGCTATAGTGGTAGCCTACAGACACAATACAGGATAGCTATAGTGGTAGCCTGTCAACACAATACAGGATAGCTATAGTGGTAGCCTGTCAACACAATCCAGGGTAGCTATAGTGGTAGCCTATATACAGGATAGCTATAGTGGTAGCCTACAGACACAATACAGGATAGTGACAGCCTACAGACAGAATGTGGTAGGTAGCCTACAGACACAATACACAGGGGTAGCTATAGTCAGGGGTAGCTATAGTGGTAGCCTACAGACATAGCTAATACAGGGGGTAGCTATAGTGGTAGCCTACAGACACAATACAGGATAGCTATAGTGGTAGCCTGTCAACACAATACAGCCTACAGACACAATACAGGTTAGCTACAGTGGTAGCCAACAGACACAATATAGTGGTAGCCCTACAGACACAATACACAGGATAGCTAGGACACAATATAGCTATAGTGGTAGCCTACAGACACAATACAGGATAGCTATAGTGGTAGCCTACAGACACAATACAGGATAGCTATAGTGGTAGTGGACACAGCCTGGTAGCTATAGTGGTAGCCTACAGACCTGTCACAGGATAGCTATAGTGGTAGCCAATACAGGATAGCTATAGTGGTAGCCTACAGACACAATACAGGATAGCTATAGTGGTAGCCTACAGACACAATACAGGATAGCTATAGTGGTAGCCTACAGACACACATACAGGATAGCAGACACAATACAGGATAGCTATAGTGGTAGCCTACAGACACAATACAGGGTAGCTATAGTGGTAGCCTACAGACACAATACAGGATAGCTATAGTGGTAGCCTACAGACACAATACAGGATAGCTATAGTGGTAGCCTACAGACACATAGTGGTAGCCTACAGACACCTACAGACCTACAGACACAATACAGGATAGCTATAGTGGTAGCCTACAGACCTACAGACACAGGGATAGCTATAGTGGTAGCCTACAGACACAATACAGGATAGCTATAGTGGTAGCCTACAGACACAATACAGGGTAGCTATAGTGGTAGCCTACAGACACAATACAGGATAGCTATAGTGGTAGCCTACAGACACAATACAGGGTAGCTATAGTGGTAGCCTACAGACACAATACAGGATAGCTATAGTGGTAGCCTACAGACACAATACAGGATAGCTATAGTGGTAGCCTACAGACACAATACAGGATAGCTATAGTGGTAGCCTGTCAGACACAATACAGGATAGCTATAGTGGTAGCCTACAGAGTGGTAGCCTACAGACACAATACAGGGTAGCTATAGTGGTAGCCTACAGACACAATACAGGGTAGCTATAGTGGTAGCCTACAGACACAATACAGGATAGCCTATAGTGGTAGCCTGGTCAACACAATATAGTGGTAGCCTACAGACACAATACAGGTAGCTATAGTGGTAGCCTACAGACACAAATACAGGGATAGCTATAGTGGTAGCCTACAGACACACAATACAGGATAGCTATAGTGGTAGCCTACAGACACAATACAGGGATAGCTATAGTGGTAGCCTGTCAGCTATAGTGGTAGCCTACACAGACACAATACAGGGATAGCTATAGTGGTAGCCTACAGACACAATACAGGATAGCTATAGTGGTAGCCTACAGCCTACAGACACAATACAGGATAGCTATAGTGGTAGCCTACAATACAGGATACACAATAGCCTACAGACAGCTATAGCTATAGTGGTAGTCCTGTCAGCATAGTGGTAGCCTACAAGGCGCAAAATCAGCCTGTCAACACAATACATGGGATAGCTATAGGTGGTAGCCTACAGACACAATATGGGATAGCTATAGTGGTAGCCTGTCAACACAATACAGGGTAGCATAGTGGTAGCCTACAGACACAATACAGGATAGCTATATAGCTATAGGGAAGCATAGCCAACACAATACATGACACATATACAGGATAGCTATAGTGGTAGCCTACAGACAGACAAATAGTGGTAGCCTACAGACACAGTACAGGATAGCTATAGTGGTAGTCTATGAAAATAGAAACCATGGTTATGAAGGGGATAGTTTTGAGGTAGACAATGGACAAATAATTGGTATTAATCTCTGATTGCCATTGATTAAAGAAATTCTTTAGCATATGTATGATACCAGCTATACCAACTGATGTCTGACTTACTTTATGACAACAACCTATTTGTACTTACATAATTCTCGTTGGTGGTTTCCTTGGACTCGATGTTGAGTGCGGGATCTATGTACAGTTCAGCCTTAGACCGGATCTTCACCTCTCCAACGTTCATATAGTCCTGTATCACATACAATGTCATACAGTCATATCACATACAATGTCATACAGTCATATCACATACATTGCCATATGTCATGGAGGGAATACACAGTCATATCACATACAATGTCACATGTCATACAGGGAATACACAGTCATATCACATACAATGTCACATGTCATACAGGGAATACAGTCATATCACATACACTGTCACATGTCATACAGGGAATACACAGTCATATCACATACAATTTCACATGTCATGGAGGGAATACAGTCATATCACATACAATGTCACATGTCATGGAGGGAATACACAGTCATATCACATACAATGTCATACAGTCATATCACATACATTGCCATGTCATGGAGGGAATACACAGTCATATCACATACAATGTCACATGTCATACAGGGAATACAGTCATGTCACATGTCACACATATACAGAATACACAGTCATATCACACACAATGTCACATGTCATACAGGGAATACACAGTCATATCACATATAATGTCACATGACATGGAGGGAATACACAGTCATATCACATACAATGTCACATGTCATGGAGGGAATACACAGTCATATCACATACAATGTCACATGTCATACAGGGAATACACAGTCATATCACACACAATGTCACATGTCATAGAGGGAGTACACAGTCATATCACATACAATGTCACATGTCATACACAGTCATATCACATACAATGTCACATGTCATACAGGGAATACACAGTCATATCACACACAATGTCACATGTCATAGAGGGAGTACACAGTCATATCACACATAATATCATATGTTACACAGGGAATACAGTCATATCACATATAATGTCACGTTTGGGTGCTGATGGGAAGGATCAAAACCGAGGAGGAGGTTTTGATCCAACTTATGAACTGACCAAAGATATACTTTAGATATACTTTCAATATTTGGTATTTACTTTTGAAATCAACTGGGATGCGACTGGCAGATGATACCTTGCCTTGTGCCCACAATGCGAGTGCTCTGCACGTGCTACTCATGTCCTGCACATGCGCTGCCCATCTTGTGAGGAACACATGGTTCATACTGACAAACAATCATATTCTTCACAGTAATCCTTCAGTAACCTAGTGGATAAAACCGCCAAGCTAGTAAGCGAAGGATTGCATGTTCGAAACCAGGCATCGGCATGATACATTGGAAGTTTTCAATAATGTGATAGTTTACAATCGTGTTCAAAACTTGTACAAGTAAAATAACTCAAAGTCAAGTGCTATTCCTCAGAAAATCCCTAGGCAATTCCTCAGAAAATCCCCAGGACTCAGGCAATAGAAAATACCCGGGATTTCTTGGAGTATGCTCACGAAACTGCCTGTAGAGATTTACTCAGTAAAAGGAGAACCTGGCGAGACAACAGAGTGATGTCACTGGAGGTTCATAAATTTCATTCAAAGTTGTTCACAGGCAATTACTGATCAGTCTTATCTCTCTAACTGTCTTTCTCTCTCTCTTTCCCACTCATCCCTCCCCACTCTCTCTCCCTCCTCCCAATCTGTCTCTCTCACAGTCTCCCCATTTCCCTTCTCCCCAGGTATATACCATATATTCCACCTCACCTGGAGCAGCGTGCTCTCCCAGAGACGGGCTCGGATCTTGATCTGCACATAGGCATTCTTTGACATCTCTCCGATGGTACACTTGATCTCATGGCATTTTGCTGTTTTACGCCGACAGTCCTGGCAGAACAGATACAAATACATTACATTTTTTCAGTGAGTTGTTCTTACACAATATTACAATCATCAAACCAAAATGTCTCTTTGTAATCTCTTCTCCCAGGGAAGCTCTATAGGTCTTAAATTGCTATCACACTGAAAGTTGCATCTTCTTCTTACGATGGAGAAGATGTAGATATGACCTCAGTCCATCTTAGAGATTTGACAATCCATCTTAGAGAAAGAACTGTAGTAAGTCACCATAACAATATTGTTGTTTTGACAATCATAAGTCTACGACTGTGGTACATCTATATCAGAGTATAGTAATTAAGACATCGTAAGTCTATGACTGTGGTACATCTATATCAGAGTATAGTAATTCAAGACATCGTAAGTCTAGTAATTAAGACATGTGGTGGTACATCTATATCAGAGTATAGTAATTAAGACATCGTAAGTCTACGACTGTGGTACATCTATATCAGAGTATAGTAATTAAGACATCGTAAGTCTACGACTGTGGTACATCTATATCAGAGTATAGTAATTAAGACATCGTAAGTCTATGACTGTGGTACATCTATATCAGAGTATAGTAATTAAGACATCGTAAGTCTACGACTGTGGTCAACTCTATCAGAGTGGTACATCTCTATATCAGAGTATAGTAATTAAGACATCGAGTAAGTCATCGTAAGTCTAGGACTGTGGTACATCTATATCAGAGTATCTAGGACTAATTATCAGACATCGTAAGTCTCTGACTGTCATCTATATCAGACTCTTAAGTGGTACATCTATATCAGGTATAGTATAGACATCGTAAGTCTAAGACATCAGAGCATAGTAGTCTACGACTGTGGTACATCTATATCAGATAGTAAGTATAGTAAGTCTAACTGTGGTACATCTATATCAGAGTATGGTAATTAAGACATAAGTCTACGACTGTGGTACATCTATATCAGAGTATAGTAAGTAAGACATCGACAGTCAACGACTGTGGTACATCTATATCAGAGTATAGTAAGTAAGACATCGTAAGTCTACGACTGTGGTACATCTATATCAGAGTATAGTAATTAAGACATCGTACTCACGACTGTGGTACATCTATATCAGACTCTCACGACTGTGGTACTTCTATATCAGAGTATAGTTATTAAGACATCGACAGTCTACGACTGTGGTACATCTATATCAGAGTATAGTAATTAAGACATCGACAGTTTACGACTGTGGTACATCTATATCAGAGTATAGTAATTAAGACATCGTAAGTCTACGACTGTGGTACATCTATATCAGAGTATAGTAATAAGGACATCGTAAAGTCTACGACTATGGTACATTTATATCAGAGTATTGAAGTTAATTCTGCAATGCTGTCATCGATTGTATTGTAGCTGTGACTATGATAAGTCTCTGATCGTCATAATTCTATGTCAGAATACATTAGTTACAATTATCCTAAATCTACGATTATCATTAGTTTATTCTTAGTTATAACAACCAAACTGTATGGCTGAAGTAACTCTATGATAAAGTACTTCGCCACCTACCAGTACGACATCTCGACGATTGTCATTCCTCTTTGTCCGAACTGCCCCTGTTGACGCCCGACGTCTCCGACTGGGTGCAGCGTCAGGGCTAGGAGCAGGGGCGGGGATGGCCGCTTTCCGTAACTAGAAACATGTCATACGTAACATACACATCTGTGTGCAAAACAAACTTGTTGAAGAATAGGTGAGGTGAGGTGAAATTGGGTTTAACTTCGTGCTTGAGAATATTTCACTCATATGACGACGTGCATGCGTGTGAATGTGTATGTGCGGCTGCTTGTACTAGCCCAGACTGAAGCTGGTTTTATAGTGCTAGCCCACTGAGATACCATGCCGCAGTGAAGCATGAATACCCCACTCAGACACATTATACTGACTCCGAGCCGACCAGTCCTTGTTGTACCCATTAATGCCGAGCGCCAGGCAGGGACCAACAAGTACCATATTTTAACGTCTTTTGGGTATGACGCGGTCGGGGATCGAACCTGCGACCTTCCGCTCTCTGGGCGGACGCTCTAACCACTACACCACGGAGGCGGTCGGTTGAAGAATAACTATGTACAACAACATGTTACAGTTTGTTACTGTGACTCTCATCTAGCATGCTGGGAAGGTTAGCTGTGATTCCTTTGGTTAATGTACTACTTCTATACACCGTGCATGTTAAACATTTCACAGCATTGATGCCATATTATCTAATCCTTCACATGTATCACTCAAACAAGTTAGGTATTATCCAGATCTTCCATATTACTATCTTACATCTGTCATGGGATGACATTAACATCGCACCAAACAATACAAGATATCAAGGAAGGGGTAACCCACCAATAGAGTGAGTGAGTGAGTGAGTTTGGTTTTACGGCTTTTAGCAATATTCCAGCAATATCACGGTCGGGGACACCAGAAATGCCCACCAATAGAGGATAACATTGTCAAGGCAACTTACAATACAATACGGGCAAGGTTACATTATATAAAATGATATCAAGGACAGGGTAAACCACTGATAAAGGATAAAAGGGTGGGATAACCAATCAATTAAGGAAAACAAGGACAGGGCAGCCCAATGAAAAAGGGTATCAAGGACATGGTAACCATATAACAAAAGATAACAATAACAGGGAACCCAGCAATAAGGATATCATGTACAGGCTGACCTCACAATAAAGGATAACAAAGGCAGGGCGATCTTATAATAAAAGGATATCAATTTTAGGCTGAACTCTTAATAAAAGCTAGCAAGGATAGGGTGACCTCACAATAAAGGATAACAAGGGCAGGGTGATCCTATGGTAAAGGACAGGCTGACATCACAATAAAGGATAACAAAGGCAGGTCGATCTTATAATAAAAGGATATCAATTTTAGGCTGAACTCTTAATAAAAGATAACAAGGATAGGGTGATCCTATAATAAAGGATATCAAGTACAGGCTGACCTCACAATAAAGGATAACAGAGGCAGGGCAATCTTATAATAAAGGACAGGCTGACCTCACAATAAAGGATAACAAAGGCAGGGTGATCCTATAATAAAGGACATGCTGACCTCACAATAAAGGATAACAAAGGCAGGGCAATCCTACAATAAAGGATAGGTTAATCTCACAATAAAGGATAACAAAGGCAGGGTGATCATATAATAAAGGATATTAAGGACAGGCTGACCTCACAAGAAAGGATAACAAAGGCAGGGTGATCATATAATAAAGGATATTAAGGACAGGTTAACCACTGATAAAGGATAACATAGACAGGGTATCAACCAATAAGGACAGAAAGAAGTAACTGCACTAACAACATAAACTAACAAGGATATCCACAAATAACAGAACATGTTCAGGATTCCACCAATAAAGAAACTACATGTCTAAACTCTACAGACAACATCAACCATATAATGATTACATCCATACTGAGACATGGAATAATTGCTACATAAACAAAATAATCAGGTACTTGCCCAAGGTCAGTTCACGTAAACAATATTACATCAATCTATGCTCAGCCGACAAAACAATAATCAATCAAATTAAAAAAATAAAGATTGACATAAATGGCATGAAATCATAAGTTAGTGAAGCACTTACATTCCGTGAGGGTTGGCGGATGTTAAAGTCGGGATTAACCTGGAAAGAACATCCAAAATCACATTTCACACATAGCAAACGTTGCAGTCTACCCTGGCTACAAGCAAGAGACTGTCTACGACAGCTGTGCATGCAGTTTTCTCAAACAAATCATTCAGGTATCATGTTAAAGACAGCTTGCAACCTTGATCCTACCATTTTCTTTCTCAAGACTCTGAACTGTGTACTGAGGACACAACTACGCCGAGGATCAAATCAGGACAAATCCAGGATTTGAACCCACAAATCAGCTGATCCTGGTATACTAAGGGGCATAATTCTGCATAGAGAATTTGACATTTTTTATAGGTCTACATGTGCCACCTGAACATTTCTTTAATGTTTGGAGTAGTCAGTAAATGTAACACTTAATCCAAAGTGTGCCAAAACTGATCTCATTCAGAATTGATAATATGACCATTTAGATTTTAAGACTCTTTTTAAGAAATAAAGATTTTTAAAGGAGTTTTGGAGCTAAACGACACAGACAGAAAATGAGTTTCCAGAAGAGGGCAAAAATACACAAAGCCTGTGACTAATGTCCACACAATATACGCTTGTGAGAGTGATCAAGGTTATAAACTGTATGTTATATCTATTCAAACATGGGTATAAAGCTCTCCTCTTATAGACAGCCATCCTTCCAGCGCAGCCTTGTCTGTAAGGCTGTCAGAGGCACTAAAACATTCCAATCATGGCTCAAAGCTACAGCTTGCCTGTAAACTAGTTCTATTCAGAGCATGTTTGGCCAAACCAATGTTTCTTCATATTTACTGATTGACTGAATTAAACCAACTTAAAAAGAATATGGATGAAAATTTGGTTTATTTTAAATCTTTTTAGTTTGTAATATTAAAAAAATACAGAAAAACAGACAAGAACAGATATCCTTGATTTTTCCTTATTAATTTCCTGCTGATATTTATCATCTTCCCAACAAACCATAATTTCAATTAAAGCAACCCTCCTTCTTAATATATTGGTAATGAGTTCAATACACGTGAAGTAATAACATCGGTATGGCCCAACACAGAATGCAATGCAAGTGACGTTACTATCTACACCACACATGACAAAAACAAAAATATATGGTGAATCACGTTTACTCATAGTCTGAAAACCATAAAAAATATACATGTATATATGTATGTCTGTAGTCTGAAGGCAGGAACAGACTGGTATAAGGCCATTGAGCTGATGATGAAGGGAGTAAGTTGGTTAAGCCGCTTTGAACAGTAGTTGACTATCACAGCCTGTGACCTTCATGTGGGAGTGAGAGTGAGTGAGTTGGGTGTAGGGTGAGTGAGTGAGTTGAGTTTTATGCCGCACTCAGAAATATTCCAGCTATATGGCAGCGGTCTGTAACTAATCGAGTCTGGACCAGACAATCCAGTGATCAACAACAGGAGCATGGATCTGTGCAAATGCAAGCCTGACCACCCGATCCCGTTAGTCGCCTCTTACGACAGTAACACACACAGTCATGATAAGATAGTAAGATGTGTTACGGAACATCAATATTCTAACCCGGACCTTTATGGGTCGAGTTGGGTACAGCGTCGCTGTGTAGTGTTACAGAGTTTCAGTGCGGGAGGAGAACCGCACCAACAAGTATTCTACAAGAATCCACAGTCTGCAGATGGTAAATGATACAGCACGTAAGGTGCTTTCAAGTAAATAATGTTCAAGATTCATCACCATGGCAGTAAACCCATATCCTACCTCTGAATGACAATAGTGAATGATCCCATTGCCTCATCCACACAAGACCCGTGAAGATCCGGGGTAGAATGGGTCTTCAGCAACCCATGTGCTTGCCATAAAAGGCGACTATGCTTGTCGTAAGAGGCGACTAACGGGATCGGGTGGTCAGTTTCGCTGACTTGGTTGACACATGTCATCGGTTCCCAATTGCGCAGATCGATGCTCATGCTGTTGATCACTGGATTGTCTGGTCCAGATTCGATTATTTACAGACCGCCGCCATATAGCTGGGATATTGCCGAGTGCGGCGTAAAACTAAACTCACTCACCAACACAACCTTTCTCCTGCCCTTGATGCTAAATTAGTGACAGCATGTTGTTTTATGCCTACAACATTCCAGCTGTATCACTGAAGCCTGTTACAGTCAGGACAACACAATCCAGCTGTCCACCACACGTGCATGTTGAAAGCATGTTGCTTCATGCCAACACAGCAATCTTCCAGTTCCTACAACTATGGTACCAAGACACACAATCAGCCATGCTACCCAATGTGAACACCACTGACTACATACACCACCATTTTGGTGGAGCACTGACGTCTTGTTTTAATCTTGTGCATGGGTGAGTATGTGAAATAAACTGTTATTATCTACATCCTACACCAATGAGTGCAGGGAGAGAATGGACCAATAGTTCCCACCTGATTACTTCTAAGATTGAAAACATGGGCGGATCCAGGAATTTTTAGAGGAGAGGGTTCAGGGGGTTTGAACCCCGCCAATGCAAAAAAAAAAATCTTCAATGTGATCTTAAGTCATTTTCAAGGGGTGGGGTGGGGGTGGTTCAAACCCCTGAAACCACCCTCCCACCCCTCTGGATCCGCCACTGGAATACAGCAGCCTCACAGTGTGAGGATACTTACGACATCGGCCAGGTCACAGTAAAGAGTTGTCTGCCCTTGTGATGACCATCTTTACTCCTTTGTAACCAATCAATACCAATCTTGTGTCAAATATTCCAGGTCAGAATTTAACAATACTAAGACTGAGATGTGCAATAATCTGTACTGAAATCAAGATATAAGTTGACATGGTATCTTGGTTTTATTTGAACACCTTCTCACTGAAACCGCAATTTGATTTGAGACTGGTAATGGTGGCGTATGCAGTGTGCCAGGGGCCAGTCCATTTACTGTTACCTTTATCTCCAGTGGGTTGATGATCTCGGGGGTGATGATGCATTCTGCCGGACCGTTCATCACCTGCAGGGGAAGAGGAACATCAGCATCTCAAAACCAAACAACTCTAGACATCCTTCTAGAACCATGTTTCAAGAAAAAAACTGACTGATGACACTTACCTGTGGTGCTTGCATCAGATACAGCAGGTGCTTGTTACCAAGTATTTACAGGAGAGACACTTACCTGTGGTGCTTGTATCAGATACAGCAGGTGCTTGTTACCAAGTATTTACAGGAGAGACACCTACCTGTGGTGCTTGCATCAGATACAGCAGGTGCTTGTTACCAAGTATTTACAAGAGAGACACCTACCTGTGGTGTTTGTATCAGATACAGCAGGTGCTTGTTACCAAGTATTTACAGGAGAGACACTTACCTGTGGTGCTTGCATCAGATACAGCAGGTGCTTGTTACCAATTATTTACAGGAGAGACACCTACCTGTGGTGCTTGCATCAGATACAGCAGGTGCTTGTTACCAATTATTTACAGGAGAGACACAAAGCTGTGGTTCTTGCATCAGATACAGCAGGTGCTTATTACCAATTATTTACAGGAGAGACACCTACCTGTGGTGCTTGCATCAGATACAGCAGGTGCTTGTTACCAAGTATTTACAAGAGAGACACCTACCTGTGGTGCTTGCATCAGATACAGCAGGTGCTTGTTACCAAGTATTTACAAGAGAGACACCTACCTGTGGTGCTTGTATCAGACACAGCAGGTGCTTATTACCAATTATTAACAGGAGAGACACCTACCTGTGGTGCTTGCATCAGATACAGCAGGTGCTTGTTACCAAGTATTTACAGGAGAGACACCTACCTGTGGTGCTTGTATCAGATACAGCAGGTGCTTATTACCAATTATTTACAGGAGAGACACCTACCTGTGGTGCTTGTATCAGACACAGCAGGTGCTTATTACCAATTATTTACAGGAGAGACACCTACCTGTGGTGCTTGCATCAGATACAGCAGGTGCTTGTTACCAAGTATTTACAGGAGAGACACCTACCTGTGGTTCTTGCATCAGATACAGCAGGTGCTTGTTACCAATTATTAACAGGAGAGACACCTACCTGTGGTGCTTGTATCAGACACAGCAGGTGCTTATTACCAATTATTTACAAGAGAGACACCTACCTGTGGTGCTTGCATCATATATAGCAGGTGCTTGTTACCAAGTATTTACAGGAGAGACACCTACCTGTGGTGCTTGCATCAGATACAGCAGGTGCTTGTTACCAATTATTAACAGGAGAGACACCTACCTGTGGTGCTTGTATCAGATACAGCAGGTGCTTGTTACCAATTATTTACAGGAGAGACACCTACCTGTGGTGCTTGCATCATATATAGCAGGTGCTTGTTACCAATTATTTACAGGAGAGACACCTACCTGTGGTGCTTGTATCAGATACAGCAGGTGCTTATTACCATTTATTTACAGGAGACACCTAGCTGTGATGCTTGCACCAGATAAAGCAGGTGCTTGTATTTACAGGAGAGACACATACCTGTGGTGCTTGTATCAGATACAGCAGGTGCTTTTTACCAATTATTTACAGGAGAGACACTTACCTGTTGTGCTTGTATCAGACACAGCAGGTGCTTGTTACCAGTATTTACAGGGGAGACACATACCTGTGGTGCTTGCATCAGATACAGCAGGTGCTTGTTACCAAGTATTTACACACACACCTACCTGTTTTCCTTGTATCAGACACAGCAGGTGCTTATATTCACAGAAGAGACACCTACCTGTGGTGCTTGCATCAGATACAACAGGTGCTTGCCCTGGGGTTCCCCATTCTCAGTCTGGTAAGGCCAGTAGATGGTTAACTCTGATTGAGACACTACGCCTGGTCCAAAATTTGTCACCTGAAAACACAAACACCCAGTTTTGAACATCTAAATGACAAGGACTCTACACTTTCAAAAACAAGAGGTCATTGACCACGAATGACATAGTTTCTTCATCCCATAATTCTCAAGTGAAGAAAAATGCTGTCACAGGTACGAGCTATTAAACAGTGGGGTACACAACATAGTTTGTGTATAATAATAGATGGAGAACTAATTAGTGACTGGCATGGCTTGCTTTAGTTAATCCATTAATCCTACCTCCAGAACCTCAGCCTGGTGCCTGCCTCCACGCTGGCATCTTTTTGAACTTGAACATGAACAGGCGTCTCCTGACCCAGCTGGTTGCTAACCTTTTCACCCCCACACTGTACATGTGGACTGGCCTAGACATTGTTCGAACAGATACTATTATCTATGCTGGGTGATGGTCAGCTTGTAAGGTTAGCTTATCACATTAACCTATGTGACCTCTGTGTTTACCAACGCTGATAACGGTCGCATAACACTAGTGGTGGCTGTTAGACAGGGGCCCTATGTAGGTGGTGGCTGTAGGACAGGGGACTATGTAGGTGGTGGCTGTTGGACAGAGGCCCTGTGTACGGAGGCCCTATGTAGGTAGTGGCTGTTAGACAGGGGCCCTATGAAGGTGGTGGCTGTTGGACAGGGGCCCTATGTAGGTGGTGGCTGTTAGACAGAGGCCCTATGTATAGTCCGTTTGGCTCAAAAGCAGACCGATGAATTGCAATCAAACTCGAAAACTAATAAACATATAATACTCAATGAATCGCTGATCATAATCAAAATATCAGACCAACTCTGAGATTTGTTTGCAGAATTTATGTCCTAAAAATAAAAAAGTTGTTTAACAAACTATCATTAAAATATTGACACAGTTCTCTATTTGTTACGAGGGAGGAGTGCAAAGAAAGGGACAGCCAGGTGTGCGAGAAAGGATGGAGACGGCAAAGCACAGGTTAATGAATCAATAGCTTTGTCGGTGCTTCTCTAGCACCTGGCTGTCCCTTTCTCTGCACTCCTCCCTCGTAACAAATAGAAAACTGTGTCAAAATCTTAATGATAGTTTGTTAAACAACTTTTTTATTTTTAGGACATAAACTCTGCAAACAAATCACAGAGTTGGTCTGACGTTTTGATTATGATCAGCGATTCATTGAGTATTATATGTTTATTAGTTTTCGAGTTTGATTGCAATTCATCGGTCCGCTTTTGAGCCAAACGGACTATAGGTGGTGGCTGTTAGACAGATGCCCTATGTATGTAGTGGCTGTTGGACAGGGGGCCTATGTAGCTGGCGGCTAAATATCGTCTCTTCGAGATAACTGGGGCCAGATATGGGAGGTGGATATTTTGACTCGAGTAAATAACAGGGGCCCTGTGTAGGTGTCTATTTCACCTCTTGGAGATAACTGGGGCCTGATATGGGGGTGGCTATTTTTCACTTGAGTAGATAACAGGGGCCCTGTGTAGGTGTCTATTTCACCTCTTGGAGATAACTGGGGCCTGATAAGGGGGTGGCTATTTTTCACTTGAGTAGATAACAGGGGCCCTGTGTAGGTGTCTATTTCACTTCTTGGAGATAACTGGGGCCTGATATGGGAGGTGACTTTTTTTACTTGAGTATATAACAGGGGCCCTGTGTAGGTGGCTATTTCATCTTTTAGAGATGACAGTTTGACTTAACATATGGACTATAACTAAGAAAAGACTCTCTAAAAAGTTTAACCTACCACAAATGTATGGTTGATCGGTGGTCCGATCTCATCTTCAATCTTAATGGCGCTCTCTCCACGGACATTGCCACTGAAGATGATAGGGTCATCTGGACTCGATACACTGCAATCAAGAAGGACAAGTGTAAACTGACCTCAGTCTAAATCAGGGCTGACATTCACATACAGGCATGCATTGAGAAGTAAGTGAAATACTGTTTGACAGAACTGATGAACTGTATTTTGCAAAGAAGGTTTTCTTCATATTGTCTCAGTCTCCTCAAGCCTTTGTCAACATTGGTCTGGGTGGTCATCAGTGGTTAGAACCACTGTCAGGTTTGGGTCAGGTTAGGGTATGGGGACGTCAGTGTCAGATCTGGTTCGGGTTAGGGTATGGGGGTCAGTGTCAGATCTGGTTCGGGTTAGGGTATGGGGGTCAGTGTCAGATCTGGTTCGGGTTAGGGTATGGGGGTCAGTGTCAGATCTGGTTTGGGTTAGGGTATGGGGTCAGTGTCAGATCTGGTTGCCAGGGTATGGGGGTCAGTGGTAGGGGTATGGGGGTCAGTGTCAGATCTGGTTCAAGGTTAGGGTATGGGATCAGGTCAGATCTGGTTGTCAGGGTTTGGGTATGGGGTCAGGTCTGGTTCAGGTTTGGTTCTATTTGGGTATGGGGGTCAGGGGCAGATCTGGGTCAGGTTTGGGTATGTATTTGGGACAGATCTGGTTCAGGTTCGGGTATGGGGATCAGGGCCAGATCTGGTTCAGGTTTGGGTATGGGGTCAGGGCCAGGGTCAGGTCTGGTTCAGGTTTGGGTATGGGGGTCAGGGTCAGATCTCCTTCGGTTTAGGATATGGCATCAGGGCCAGATCTGGGTCAGGCTTGGGTATGGGGTCAGGGCCAGATCTGGTTCGGGTTAGGGTATGGTGGTCAGGGCCAGATCTGGTTCAGGTTTGGGTATGGGGGTCAGGGTCAGATCTGGTTCAGGTTTGCGTATGGGGTCAGGGCCAGATCTCCTTCGGTTTAGGATATGGCATCAGGGCCAGATCTGGGTCAGGCTTGGGTATGGGGTCAGGGCCAGATCTGGTTCAGGTTTGGGTATGGAGGTCAGGGTCAGATCTGGTCAGGTTAGGGTATTGGGGTCAGATTTGGTTCAGGTTAGGGTATAGGGGGTCAGGGTCAGGGTCAGGTTAGAGGATGGAGGTTAGATTGGGTTATGGGGTCAGAGTCAGGTCAGGGACGGGGTCAGGGCTAGAGTCCAGTCAGAATCAGATTAAAGTCTGGTCATGGTCTGTGAGTTGTGGTGTCTGCAGCTTCAGGATCTTAATGGTCAGGGTGTTGACTGATGAGTTCTGATGGTCGGGGCAGTGGTTGATATAGTCCAGCAATATCAAATATACTCACCCATTGACGGTCATCTCAGCAATAATTATGACACGGAAACTCATTGTGTGTAGGTCATTTTCTGGAGTTGTTTCTGTGCTGGATCTGTAGAACAGAAAACACTGGGTGAAGCAGTACTCTAGGTTACAAGAACTACGTTATACAGAAACACTATTGTGTCAACTGCTGGATCTGTAGAACAGAAAACACTGGGTGAAGCAGTACTCTAGGTTACAAGAACTACGTTATACAGAAACACTATTGTGTCAACTGCTGGATCTGTAGAACAGAAAACACTGGGTGAAGCAGAACTCTAGGTTACAAGAACTACGTTATACAGAAACACTATTGTGTCAACTGCTGGATCTGTAGAACAGAAAACACTGGGTGAAGCAGTACTCTAGGTTACAAGAACTACGTTATACAGAAACACTATTGTGTCAACTGCTGGATCTGTAGAACAGAAAACACTGGGTGAAGCAGTACTCTAGGTTACAAGAACTACGTTATACAGAACTATTGAAAGTCACTGCTGGATCTGTAGATTGAAGCAGTACTCTAGGTCAACTGTGTCAACTGCTGGATCTGTAGAACAGAAAACATCAGTACTCTAGGTTACAAGAACTATGTTATACAGAAACACTATTGTGTCAACTGCTGGATCTGTAGAACAGAAAACACTGGGTGAAGCAGTACTCTAGGTTACAAGAACTATGTTATACAGAAACACTATTGTGTCAACTGCTGGATCTGTAGAACAGAAAACACTGGGTGAAGCAGTACTCTAGGTTACAAGAACTATGTTATACAGAAACACTATTGTGTCAACTGCTGGATCTGTAGAACAGAAAACACTGGGTGAAGCAGTACTCTAGGTTACAAGAAACACTATTGTGTCGTTATCTGTAGAACAGAAACACTATTGTGTCAACTGCTGGGTGAAGCAGTCTGGTTACAAAAAACAGAAACACTATTGTGTCACTGGATCTGTGAGAGCACTAGTAAGCAGTCTAGGTTACAAGAACTATGTTATACAGAAACACTATTGTGTCAACTGCTGGATCTGTAGAACAGAAAACACTGGGTGAAGCAGTACTCTAGGTTACAAGAACTACGTTATACAGAAACACTATTGTGTCAACTGCTGGATCTGTAGAACAGAAAACACTGGAAGCAGTACTCTAGGTTACAAGAACTACGTATACAGAAACACTATTGTGTCAACTGCTGGATCTGTAGAACAGAAAACACTGGGTGAAGCAGTGGTTACAAGAACACGTTATACAGAAACACTATTGTGTCAACTGCTGGATCTGTAGAACAGAAAACACTGGTGAAGCAGTACTAGGTTACAAGAACTACGTTATACAGAAACACTATTGTGTCAACTGCTGGATCTGTAGAACAGAAAACACTGGGTGAAGCAGTACTCTAGGTTACAAGAACTACATTATACAGAAACACTATTGTGTCAACTGCTGGATCTGTAGAACAGAAAACACTGGGTGAAGCAGTACTCTAGGTTACAAGAACTATGTTATTCTTGTAGCCACACAAAAACAGAAACACTATTGTGTCAACTGCTCCATGTAAAACATTCCAGGCTAATAATCTTCCATTCAATGCAGAAGTCACAGAGACGGCGGAACACAATCAGCTCTCACTGACCAGAGAGTAGCAGTATAACAAAACTATTGATGTATAGCGATTGTTTGGCCTAACATTGTCCTATTTTAACAGAAAGTTGAAAATGATAATAGTATTATTGATAGTATCCATAACACTTAATAATTTCAATAGGTGCAAATAGGTTGTCGATCAAACAGAAACTATGACTGACAACCATCAGTTTTAATAGTGGATTAGCAAACCTGCTCTGTGTTGATAAGAAAGGATTGGACATCAGGTTAGAGTTACTTCCCTTTGGTTTTATCAGCAACAGGGAGGTAAATGGCTGACTTTGACATTTGCAACAATACTTTATTCATTTCTGTTACATTGCTTCATGTAACTGTCAAGCCTTACAGTTGGTTTAATACTGTCACAAATACTATGGCAATAGTGTGGAGTACTGCAATGAAATCACAACAGTTCAAACAGACCCAATAGTCAACCCTACCAGAGTCCTAGTTGCCAGTCCCTTTGGGCACCTTGTATGACAAGCTCAGGGTGTCTGTAACTATTTTAAGCCAGACTCCCATGTGAGTTGAAGTGTCAGTCAGTTGGGCTTTACTCTACTGGGATAAACACTGCCTAAAACGCAGAGGACACAACTAGGCATTACCCCTGTGAGGCCCCCGTGGTAAAATGAGTGAATGCTTTAACCAGTAGGAGTGAGTGAGTGAGTTTAGTTTTACGCCTAACTCAGCAATATTGCAGCTATATGGCGGCTTAACCAGTAGGATGAATGTAACACTGAAGATACTCACGTGTTTGCCCATACGATGATCTGGTGGTCTTCCTGTGAGGGCTGCAGCTTGGACGAGTCCATCTTCACTATGAAACTGACAAAGTTATCCTTGGGGAGCGGGTTGCCGATATCGCCACACTCGATCAGGGATTTATTGCCCTCCACTGTGTCACACTTCACATCGGTGTCCTGGGAGTGCAATTCAATGTGTGAATAGTTCTCAGTACCAGTACTTGTTTGGTATTTACAGGAGAGGGTATTTATTAAATCAAACCTTTTGCAATTTTGGAACAAATGTATGCCCCTATATAATTAGTTTGTTTGTTGTCTAATGCCGCACACATCAATGTTCAATCTATATGGTGGTGGTCTCCATATGATCCAGTGATCAACATCATGAGCATATCATCAGCAAGTCTGACCACCCGATCCCAATATTCGCCTCTTACAACAAAACCAATTCTGACCTGGATCTACGCAGGTTGGTTTTAGTTTAATCCTTTAAGAGGCATAGTAAATGGGGCAAATTCGTCTACTCTCATCACTACGCACATTTATTGGCTACAAGCTCTACACCACAAGCCATCTTCACTTATCAATACCCACAAGAACCAGTTCTACCCCTCATGGCCAATATGGGAATTCTACTGATGGGGCCAAAGTGGTCTACTCTTTCAGAGAGACGGAGCAGATGGACCATCTCTACCAATGGGGACCAGGGCGTCATGACAGCATCATGGAGCGTGTACCTTGTTGGTTGCGTCAAGCGTGTCGCGGCCCTGGTAGTGGAGCGTCTCCGGCTTCTTTATGTACACCCTTGTCAGGTAGGCTGCTTCCTCTACGTTGCGGACTGTCATTGTCAATGTGATAACATCCTGATCGCCCTGGCTCAGAACGTAACGTCCAGAAGAATCCCTGTACAGTACAAATATTGCAATAATGTTATATCTTTATCAATATATTAATGACAATATATGATATTAACTTTTCATCATAAACTCTGGGATACTGGTATCTGATCCTTGAACTCTTCGAGGTCCCATTTGCTGTGTAAATGTTTCATAACAAAGTGATGAAATATTTGTTCAAGCAATTATCAGTAATACAGTGATTGTGACTTAAGAAACCCCCAAAACCAAACTTATGATCTAACGAGATTTTAAACTGTATGGTAGCCTCGTAGTTAAAGTGTTTGCTTGTCACACCAAAGACCTGGATACAAGAAGTATCCCCAGGTAGAAGGTGAGTTGAAATTGGGTTTTAAGTCGTGCTTGAGAATATTTCGCTCATATGACGACGTGCATGCGTGTGTATGTGTATGAGCGGCTGCTTGTACTAGCCCAGAATGAAACTGGTTTTATAGTGCTAGCCCACTGAGATACCATGCCGCAGTGAAGCATGAATACCCCACTCAGACACATTATACTGACTCCGAGCCGACCAGTTGTACCCATTAATGCCGAGTGCCAGGTAGGGACCAACAAGTACCATATTTTAACGTCTTTTGGTTTGACGCGGTCGGGGATCGAACCCGCGACCTTCCGCTCTCTGGGCGGACGCTCTAACCACTACACCACGGCGACGGTCATCCCCAGGTAGAAAACTGTTGATGGGTTAGGTAACTTACATAGGAAGGTCAAGGCTGGCCTCAAACTGGAGGTTGCTGTTACATTCTCCCTCGCAGTCCTTGACAAACTCCACCTGAAATAAAGGGCAATGGTAGAGCTACGTTCTCAATATGATAAAGGGTTAGCCTTTTATCCTCAATAGAGGACAAAATCTACAGGTTCCTTTAGGGCGGTGGGGTAGGCTAGTGGTTAAAGTGTTCGCTTGTCACGCCGAAGACCCGGGTTCGATTCCCCACATGGGTACAATGTTTGAAGCCCATTTCTGGTGTCCCCCACTGTGATATTGCCGGAATATTGCTAAAAGCTGCACAAAACTAAACTCATTCACTCACTTCAAGTTCCTTTGGCCATATATACGGTGAAACCTGCCAACACCGGCACCTGTCTAATCAGGCACACTGTAAAAACCGGCATAAAAGAGTGATTCCGCCATTTTACAACGATATTATAATCATGAAAACATTGTGTAATCCGGCACCTGTCTATTCCGTATTCCAGCACGACTTTCCAGTCCCAACAAGCAATTTTAACTGTAATTGTAAACCAAAAGTCACTGTGTTCTTTAACCTGATTGGTTGAAAATCGTGATCAAATGGTATTCGATTCCCGGAAATTTGCTGCGTATTAATACATACAAACATCGCTCACACCATTGTATTGTTACGTCGTCAGCAGTGATGACGTTATTCAAATCATATTGTGACGTAAAGTCCGAATGATGTCACAAATGAGCTGTTCCAGATGCTACCATGAGACAGTCGAAACAGCAGGTTGATGACATTTCACTGCTGTACCCATACACGATGTCAATGAGTGCAGACACAAAAACGTGTGTGGACCTTTTGGTTTACTTTTGTGTTTACAATGTCGATAAACATCATGTGTTGGCCAATTTCCGGGTGTTATTGAGTATTTGAAGCACGGGAATATTCCATTTGAAACCTCCGGCTAACGCCGTCGGTTCCAAATGAATTCCCCTGCTTCAAATACTCAATAACACCAGGAAATTGGCCAACACATGATGTTTATCTCCTAATTAACACTGTCTAAACCGGCATGGGTAAGAGTAGTCCAATCAAGGACTCACAATCCAATACACTAATTAATCCTCTTGGCACGCTAGATAATCAGGAAGTAGTGATTGCGCGGTGAATCAAACGCTCTAAGCCGGCATGGGTATGAGCAGTCCAATCAAGGTCCCTTAATCGAATACACTCCTCTCGGCACACCATATTATACAGATAAAGAGACTGACGAGTGTAAATGGCAGCCATGTTGGAAAATGATCGTAACTGTCTAAACCGGCATTTTATTTCGGTCCTGTGGGGTGCCGGTTTAGACAGGTTTCACTGTATTCTAAACCCATTGTTGTTGTTGTTTAATGTTGTAGTGACCAGGATTCCAGCTACAACAGCCTGTAACTGGTCATACCTACCTGACAACCTAATCCAACCATCTACACCCATAATATTCAGCTATATGACAAGGGCTGTAAATAACCGAGTCCAGACCAGACAGTCCACTGATTGATACCATAAGCATTGTACAAGGAAACATCTTAAGACAAACCAAAATGTTTAGTCATCTCTTACAACCAGCATATATGAGGTGAGGTGAGGTGAGGTGAGGTGAAATTGGATTTTACGTCGTGCTTGAGAATATTTTGCTCATATGACGACGTGCATGCGTGTGTATGTGTATGTGCAGCTGCTTGTACTAGCCCAGACTTAAGCTGGTTTTATAGTGCTAGCCCACCGAGATACCATGCCGCAGTGAAGCATGAATACCCCACTCAGACACATTATACTGACTCCGAGCCGACCAGTCCTTATTGCACCCATTAATGCCGAACGCCAGACAGGGACCAACAAGAACCAAATTTTAACGTCTTTTGGTATGATGCGGTCGGGGATCGAACCCGCGACCTTCCACTCTCTGGGCAGACGCTCTAACCACTACACCACGGAGGCTGTCTACCAGCATATATGAATTCTAGCATGTAATCAACATGCCCAGGCAAGTAAGTTGCTTAAGCAACAGACAGTGCCCCTTGTGTTTATCACATACCATGGCGGTGAGTGCCGTCTTAGTTGTCTCCATCTCTGCCCCTGCAGTAGCGAGGATGGGGTAGTCGTTGATGTTGGGCAGGGGTTGTCCAGGCGTGGGGCGTGTGTAAGACAGTTCCTCCAACTTGTAGGAGATGTCGAAGATCAGTGGGTTCAGTTTGTCTTGGAATGCGTCCTGAAACACACCAATGTCTCTTATGAAATTACAAAAAGTAAAATGGCTACAAACTATGCATTAACCAAACAACATCAGAAGACATGATCCCATTTGATACCCTTGATTTCCACATGGTATCATTTGATACCCTAGATTTCCACATTGTCCCATTTGATACCCTAAATGTCCATATGAACTCATTTGATACCCTTGATTTCCACACAGATCCATTTGATACCCTTGATTCCCACATTGTCCCATTTGATACCCTAAATGTACATATGAACTCATTTGATACCCTAGATTTCCACACAGATCCATTTGATACCCTTGATTTCCATACTGTCCCATTTGATACCCTAAATGTCCATATGAACTAATTTGATACCCTTGATTTCCACACAGATCCATTTGATACCCTTGATTTCCACATTGTCCCATTTGATACCCTAAATGTCCATATGAACTCATTTGATACCCTAGATTTCGGACACAGATCCATTTGATACCCTTGATTTCCACACAGATCCATTTGATACCCTTGATTTCCACAGCCATATTTGAAAATCTAGAGCTAAAGGGTCTCATTTGATACCCTAGGGTGACACACTGTTCCACTTGATAATCTTGAGTTACACACAGTCTTACTAGATACCTTACTCAACGCGTGATTTCAATACCTGACTGAAAATAGCATTGCACAGCATCCATGGTGAACATACATGAATCTACTCACCTCGAGATAAGCAATCTCCCTGGTACACCTCGGCCGGGGGTTTGTTTGTTGGCGAAGGGTCAGAGTGTCTTCCTTTATACGGCCATTAGCTTCAGATGGGTTTTTCAATAAAACTCGAGAAATACTTCTTGACTTCTCGGTTTCTATCTTGTAGACAATTCTGGGTCGGTTTGTAAAGCTGGAATTGAAATGAATAATGCATATCAATAATGAGCGCAGCTTGTTTTCACTGAGCACAAAACATTCAGTAAAACATCACTTCTTTTTGTTTCCTAAATAACGGACTGACAGTGTGCTCCTAGGTCACGGCTGATGGCACAGCAGGAAATTGGCTTGGAATTCAAATTCAGTAAAATAATTGTTAATCTTCTCAAAAATGATACATCTACATAAGTGAGGAAAAATTATTTCCAAATAAAGGGAGGTGGGGTGGGCAGTGGTTAGGTTGTGGTTAAAGTGAGCAGTTGTCACACCAAAGACCTGGGTTCAATTCCTCATATGGGTACAATGTGTGATCCTCATTTCTTTTGCAATGAGATTGCGGAAATATTGCTGAAAATGGCGAAAAACCATCCTCAATCAGTGTCATTATGATCATGTCTTATATCACATCAGTCAATTCAATCAATTGCCACAAGACACTATACGACCTAAAATAGTTGTCAACAAGGTAAACATTTTCACCTTTTCTGGGGTTCAGCCTTGAAACTGAGGCAAATGGTGATTTGAATACAGTGTTTCTGAACGCCAGTATCAAACTGGCATGATGGGGGCTGGGACAGGTCAATCATCTTGGGTTCCAGGGTCACATTGGAAATCAGATGGATGATTGGTCGCGCCCTGATCAGGGAAACTTCATTGGATTCGTACGACCCGACCAGCAGGTCTGGGTAGCCGTTGCTGTCCAGGTCCATTCCGCCAGACAGAGAGTGGCCAAAAGATTCCAGATTGGAGCTGGGGAGTTCTTCTGCCGTGATTCTCTGTAATGAAAGGTTTGTTTGAACGGTTTGTTTCTCATTTTATGCGCTACTAAGCAATATTCGTCACGATATGGCTGTGATATTGCCGATGTGACGTTAAATATTAACTCACTCACTCACTAAGCAATATTATATTTTACAGCCACTCAAAAATGACAACTGTGTGTTATTTGTTTCTATTCACATGCCCATATTCTAGTAATCAGCTTGTAAATAATAAGGTCTGGACCAAACAATGTCGTGACAGATATTGTGAGCAATGCCTTCCAGGTATTATAAAAGAAACAGAAATCATAGATGTCAATGAATCTAATAACCCGACCCATTTAGTTGTGTGTTACGACCCACACACAACTGCTTGGTAATTTTTCAAACCCAGAATCTCACCTGTGCAAACTTCTCTACGACTCCTTTCTTGGAGCCATGGAAGATGTAGACAGTGCCGTTCCCCTCATATGGAGCACCCACAGCGAAGTCTGAAACAGTCATCACAACCATCATCCCAGTATAACAAACTTCAGAACAAAACCCTTTCTTAGAATTACTGAGTGAGTGAGTTAGTTTTGATTAATGCCACTTTGTACCCACTCTATCCAGACTCTCAGCAGGTCCCTACAATACCGCAGACATGCAACAGGGCACCTACTCTATCCCAGACTCCTAACAGGTACCACTCCCAACTGGGCACAGACTCTACCCAGACTCCCCACTGGGTACAGAATCTACCCAGACTCCTAACAGGTACCACTCCCAACAGGGCACCTACTCTATCCCAGACTCCTAACAGGTACCACTCCCAACTGGGCACAGACTCTACCCAGACTCCCCACAGGGCACATATACCACTCCCAACAGGGCACCTACTCACCACAGACTCCTAACAGGGCACCTACTCTAGCCCAAACTCCCAAAAGTACACTTTACCCCAGACTCCCAACAGGGCACCAACTCTACCTCAAACTCCAAACAGGGCACATACTCTATCCCAAACTCCAAACAGTACACTTTACCCCACACTCCCTACAGGTCACCTACTCTACCCCCAGACTCCTAACAGGGCACATACAATACCCCAGACTCCCAACAGGTCACCTACTCTACCTCAAACTCCAAACAGGGCACATACTCTACCCCAAACTCCCAACAGTACACTTTACCCCACACTCCCTACAGGGCACCTACTCTACCCCAAACTCCCAACAGTACACTTTATCCCACACTCCCAACAGGGCACCTACTCTACCCCAAACTCCCAACAGGGACTGCTATAGCTTACCTTGGTAGCCATCTCCATTTAGGTCTCCGGCCTTGCTGAGACTGAAGCCAAACCTGGCGTGTTCACACTGAAGTTTCCGACATTCCTGGTCGTTCATCTGCCGGCTGAGGATCACGATGGGTTCTGTGTACTTGTTCAACTAATGATGATAAAAAAAAACAAATAACAATAACAGTGACAACAACTACAGACATCTGGGGTTTCTGAACTAAGTTACCTAGCTTCTTTGAGTGGCATTTTAGAAGTTGGGAAGTACATTTTAGAACAAACTTTATGGATAACAACTCACGAATAAAAAGAAGTTGTTATCCATAAAGTTTGTTCTATATAAGTTACCTAGGAAGACAAACTGAGAAAACTTCATCATTGGTAACCATGGTAACTTTCTTGCTGCCACTTACTGCAGTTCCTCCACCCAGATAGATATAGATGGCACCGCCAACATTGGTATCGTGGTAGAATGGAGCTCCGACTATAAGATCATCATATCTGAAAGTACATATCAAATGAAACCATTTTTTATGTACACTGAATACATACACACACCAACACACAACTAAGAACAAAATGAAAAAACATGAGTTGTTATTGGAAATTACCATGTACTATCAATGTTGAGTCAGGTGTTAGTTTGTACAGACTTGTACATTATTTCAGTTGTATCATGGTATGTTAGCTTAAAGAAACAGTGAGTGAGTGAGTGAGTGAGTGAGTGGTGAGTGAGTGAGTGAGTGAGTGAGTGAGTGAGTGAGTGAGTTTGGTTTTATGCCGCTTTTAGCAATATTCCAGCAATATCTGAAATGGGCTTCACACATTTTGCCCATGTGGGGAATTGAACCCGGGTCTTCGGCGTGACGAGTGAACGCATTAACCACTAGGCTACCCCACCGCCCCCTTAATGAAACAGTCTCAGCAATCTTAAAGAAATAAAAGACATCACTTACTTGTCATTGTTCAAATTGATCGTCAGCAGGTCATGTCCGAATGATGAAAAGTCTCTCTTGCCCTTTATGATCTGGTTTTCAGCATACAGGAGATTTCGGCCTGGGATCTGTGAGAAGATGACGATCTCTCCCGTCTGCCCAGAGCGGGGGGCACCTGCTATGTAGTACTTCTGATTCGACTGATCAAATACTCCGCTGGTCACAGAATAACCTGTAAAAGTAAGAAAGCATCATCAAGGATGGAGTGAGTGATGGAGTATGGTTTAATCTGTTCAAAATGCTGCATGACTCCAATGAAAACCACAAGTGTGGGTGCTGTGCTGAAATTAAACCCCAACATATTCATGTTTTGCTGTGCCCAGAGTAAAAAATAATGTAATTTTTTTGAAGTAAAATTGATATTTTATACTTATCCTGACTCATGATCTTTTGCTTCTCTCCCTTTCCCTTTTGAATGGTAGTGGAACACTTGAATCCCTTGAAGTTCCCGAAGCGGACGTAACAATACACTCACCCACGAGTTACCTCCCTAGCCCTTTCACGCGTAAACCATATCATATGACGTGTCCATACTTGTCACTCTCTCATGAGTCAGGATAAGGAAAAATAACCTAAATAAACATGTAGCAAAGCAATTTGCATGAAATGTCATGTGACGCATCCGGTAATGTTAATTTAGTTCCAATCTGTCACAAAGATCTGTTTCAGAATTATAGCATTTGGAGCTAAAATACTTCTGGTTAATGAGGACTCCCATCATCAGGTTTTCACACGTCCCCAGCACAACCGTCTCAGACGAGTTCGGGTTTCAGGGGCTGCACTCACCAAGGTAAGCGTACTTGTCCACAGGGGGTTTGGGTTCTGTAGGAGATGGGGAATCCCCTTCTGTCGGCACTGGGGTGTAGTAGAAGGACTTGTCTGCTCCAAGCACCTCACTCATGTTCCCCTTGAACATCACACCACGCCAGTCAAACGACCCAGGAGCTCCCATTATGAAACCATCATCCTGTAAGATAAATTGTGAAATCGTATACCGAAAATGTAATTTTTATGATAAACCCCCCACCTCACCTCACATCACCTCAGTATATTACATGACATGTCAGCTTAATGCTAACAAATGGTAGATGGTTACACTTTTGGTGATAACCACAAGTGACAGTGTAGTGTTGACAAAGAAAGGGTAAAAGGGTAACTCAGGAGCTCATATAAACTCAGTCAATGTATCTTGGAACAATAAAGGGAAACTACTCTGTATACCAAGTATCAGTGTACCATCCACCATAATTCATGTTGTGTTTTCATTACTGGGACAACATGAATAATAATAGTAATTATATCAAAAGGACAAGTATAAAAACTCAATCACTGGGTCCTGACACAACAAAGGGACACGACTCTAAACACAACATGTGCATTGACCACCCACCTTTAACAACATGCCGCTGACGCCGGCCTGACACACACCGAACTGCCGATGTAGCTGCTCCACAGGACGTCCCAAACATGGCCGCCACTTCTCCTGGTAGTCCAAGGACTGTAGTAGGGTGTAGCACATTCCCAGCCCATAGTTGCTTCGCATGTAGCGGTGAGCGCAGGCCTGACATACAAACAATGATCATTAAACAATCGAAAATCAATGAAGGCCTTTCTTTGTTATTACTCAAGTTCACAGACCACCTGCCCTAAGTGTACTAAATGTGAAATACAAATAAATTGTGAGTTCCTTTACCACCTAATTCCAAGAAAAGCAATTCAATGTTACTTGACAGGGAAAGGGAGGTAACTCCAAACACCATATTCAAAGCATTCTAGATAATTATTACCAATTATAAATACATGATGCTAATTCATTCCTATAACAGCATTTCAGTTTTATGGAATTGTTGATTTGTCAGAGGAAGCCTTGTTGTGGGACTTACACTTTAGAAGACCTGTCATACCAGGCAGCAAGATCCTATTGCTTGTACAACTAGTTATAGTTAATACAGACTTATGTTGAAAATCAGAGGATTTTATGGTGTGACGATTGCAATAATGTAGAATTTATGACAGGGTTGTCATAGAGGGGTGTGCATAGGAAGCACATGATCTCCATCACACCTGATGCAACGTCACATACTAAACAGTGCCACTTGTGATGGTAGAAATAATTTGTGATATTACTGATATTACCAGTGTAGGAAAGATAGCCCGTCCCAACGTCCGAGACGGGTGAATTTTGTGGAGGAGGGGTTAAAAAAATATCTAGTCCGTCCTCATGTCGGGTCAATTTTAGCAAACCAATGACATATATATAATGATTATAACCTTTTTGAATATTTACTGCCGAAGGTGTTTTATTTATATTTGGAGGACAGGCTAGATTTTGGCAGGACTGGTAAAAAATTTGACCTGCCAGTCCTGTGGACAGGCTAGATTTTCTACATCTTTCCTACACTGATATTACTCACCTTAATATGAGAGAGTCGACAGCTAATTGTCTATACAAAACGACACCTACCAACACGTTCCGTCCCTTTCCCTGACTCTGGACCACGACTCCAAGCCACTGGTCCGTCATGTTTTCTTCCTTGTCCGGTAAAGAATCTGAAAAAAAAAAAAAAAAAAATTAAATGTTTACATGTTTACCATCTTCATAAATTATTTCTGCTCTTCTAAGCCAAACACCCTGATTTACGCAACACTAATAACAGCCATCCAATCAAATGACACACATATGATTACCATATATGACCGTCTATAAGCCGACCCCATGGATAAGCCGACCCCCAAACTTGACCCTCAAAATCAGTGTCAAAATCATATCTCTCATGGATAGGCCGACCCCCCGCGATGGGTCGCGGCCAACAGAGACCAGAGTACCCGGTAAGTATGTTCCATCAACGATGAGACACCATTACGAGAATATTACATAATAAAGATTACCGGTGTTTGTTTACCTTTTTTTAACGATCACTGCTTGCATCAACAACGAGACGCCATTTGGAAAGTGGATATACAGCGTAAGTGTTGGTGAGAATATTACATAATAAAGATTACCGGTGTATTGTGGCAACATGTGTTTGTGTTCCTTTTTATCTCCCGACGATCACTGCTTGCATCAACAACGAGACGCCATTTTGTGAAATCGGTGAGTATGGAAATGTGAACCCAAGAGAAAAAGTACAATCGGTAAATAAAAACTGAAGTCAACTTTTGTTTCAAAATATATTATTTAAGTGTCCATATTTCATCTATATATATATGACAATAAGAAAAATAGTCCACTAACAATAAACACTGACATTTCTGCAAGAGAGTTCTGAGATTTTCACAAGTCATCGGCCGTAAACCCATCAAATTCCGTGTCACTGTCCTCCTCATATACTGTAAGTCGATCCACATTATTCAAAGAATTCACTGTCATATATATTGTGTCTACTCACGGATCTAAAACGGAAGTGTAGTTGACAGAAAATGCATAATATATTTTGCTTCTAAATATCATATTTATTGTAGCAACAAACTGGCTTTGCTTATTTTACCCCATTCAACAATCACAAACTGATTACGCATACTCCATGTCACGTGCTTACCACGCTCATGATGGTCCAGATAACCTTAGTGTTGATTATATATTTTTTACATAAAAACTATTACACAATGCTAGGATATATTTCTTTGGGTTAAATAATAGTATTCAATCAATAGAATTCATCCCGCTATATTATTGTGCATGTTTGAACTTGTTCATGGGAAACGTGTGCACAGCTGATTGCTATTTCCGCTTTGTGTATGAGACAAATACGCCACACAGTAATCTTAATTAATTTATAGAGCAAAACAAAAAAGTTTGACGAAAGCGTAACTCATGGATAAGACGCACCCTTCTACAGACTGCTTTTTTTGGTCCTCAAAATTCGGCTTATAGACGGTCATATACGGTAACTGCACCAGTCACAATGTTAACAGATCCAGATCACTGTTAACTTACAATATACAATGATAACTGCAGTGTTACCTGCTAAAGGTACAATGTTACCTTCCTCAGATACAGACAAAATACTAACTGTACTAGGGCTGGGACGGGTAACCTGGATACCCAGGACAGGTGGGTAATGAACTGGACCCGGATATCCTGTCTCAATACCCGGACCCGTTATGTTCTGTCTCAATACCCAGACAACTGACTGACTATGTTCATGTGACTAATAGATTAAACAATGTCATGTTATTCTTTCATGATCAAAAGGTTGTATTGTCTTTGAAAATTTAAACATAATTTACAGTCACTTCTTTTGAATATAATACATGGTTAAGATATTGAAAAACTCAAAATTTTAACCTCCGAGTTGAAGAATATATTGCCATTTCTTGTCAGAAATGAACATAACGGGTATCCGGGTAGGGTAGGGTAATAGGGAGTGGGGAACCTGGGTAGAAAATTTGGACCCGTCCCAGCCCTACACTGTACAATGTTAAATGTCTAAAGGAATCATAAAAGTCCAACTGACTGAAAGGTGCATCTTTGAGCTGTTCACAGTCATCCTCCAAGGTGCTGTCTGCAGGACACCTGTAGATGGCGCCACTTCTCTTTACTTGCAACAGAACTTCAGAATTGGCTTTCGGTGCTCCGATCAACAATCTGTAACACAACAGGGATAGGATAAGCATAACTTTACAGAGCAAAAACATTTATTATCAACAATGGCTTTCATGGAAGATATAGCTTGGGTGAAAGCAAGTGATATCTCCCTTCATCACAATGCCTTGTAGACCATATAGACATCATTGATTAACATGATATCATAATCGAATGACATAACTCATCTCTGACACTGAGGCTGTTTAGCAATAATTTTTGCATTCAAAAAACTTTCAATACAGTATACAGACTGAAAAAGTTTGAAAAAATGGTTTTGGATAAAAAGATTCAGGTCTCAGAATGTCAAAAATTCTGTGTTGATCTGTTTGATATAAAAAGACACTGGTGTGATATTCTCTATGTCTTACAATAAGGCAGCTGACATGCATTGTATTGTGTAGTTACCATGGTTACATGATACCTCCATTTCACAAGGGTTTCGTTCAGATCTGTGACCATGGTTACAGATCCGATACATAAACTGACAAGTGACATGGGATGTATCAGTGTCTACTGAACTGCAGTACTTCAGTAATAATCAATGCATTTTTGTAACGCTTCATATCCTATCAGTTCGAGCATGCTCTATGGACAAACACCATCATGGCCCCAGTCAGTGGTTTACTGTGCAGTCACTTTAATTCTCAGTACCCTGGGGTGTATACAACCCAAGCTGTCAGGTCCTACAAGGTCAACAATCACATTAAAATCTTTTCCTTCCGGGTACCCATTCGCTGCTGGGTGGAGAGGCAAATTCAAACAATGTTTAAATAGACAACACATGTACTGCATGTAATTCAGAGTTGACCAAAACCCTAGATACTTTCTGGTGTCAAGATGCTAAATACAGTCACCCGTCAAACTACGCTCCACGACCAACACTGCATAATCATAAAATACTATGGCCTGTGAATTACACCACCTCATCCTAATTTTCATCGCCCTGTTAATCCAAGCATTATCAAGCAAGGTGATAATAACTCCCCTAACAATGAGTTACGATGGTCTAAGTATTCTGATGCTTCGTGGAACGAGACCCTGGAGAATACGCTTCATTTTTTATGCGACTCAATTACACTAATTGGCCAGTGAACATGAAAGCAAAAAGGTTTGTAAAGATTTGAGTCCTAATCAGTAACCCATAGACACACAGCATAGACAGAAAGAATACCTGCTCCTTTCATCATCTTCCCACTGTTAGCAATTTGAACTTGCATGTTTAAACAGTCTTTTAAATGGCATAGCCAGACAGCCATGTTGTTATCACTTAAATCGTGTAATTCACTCACAGTGAGTGAGTTGGTGAGTTTAGTTTTACACCACACTCAACAATTTAACAGCTATATGGCGGCAGTCTGTAAATAATTTAGTCTGGACCAGACAATCCAGTGAACCCTCACAGTGACTGCTGCTTGTTTGATTGACTGACAAGTGGATTACATCTGGGTTTCAGATCAGTAAATTGGCTTACACACTCACTGACTGTTACCCAACATCAGCGCTAGACATCGGTACTAGTACCATATTCCTTACCAAACATACCAATAGTTAATGTTCCACAAGGACTAGTAGAAAGGTGCAATTATTATGTTTTGCCACTATGAGGACTAGTAGGCTGAAAAGTTTGGATTCCATTGTTGAAAATGCTGACCAAAAATCCTCTAGCCTCAACTTGGCTCTTACCATCATTTCTAGCACATAGTAGTGTTATCCTATAGACTACTGTTACCTGATCTCACAAGACAAAGATCAAACAGACTTTTCCTAGACTCGACTTCTGGCACAAGTTCCACACTCAAAACATCCTAAAAACTACTGTTCGCTGATCTCACAAGACAAGGATCATACAGACTTTTCCTAGACTCGACTTCTGGCACAAGTTCCACACTCAAAACATCCTAAAGACTTCTGTTCGCCGATCTCACAAGACAAGGATCATACAGACTTTTCCTAGACTCGACTTCTGGCACAAGTTCCACACTCAAAACATCCTAAAGACTTCTGTTCGCCGATCTCACAAGACAAGGATCATACAGACTTTTCCTAGACTCGACTTCTGGCACAAGTTCCACACTCAAAACATCCTAAAGACTTCTGTTCGCCGATCTCACAAGACAAGGATCATACAGACTTTTCCTAGACTCGACTTCTGGCACAAGTTCCACACTCAAAACATCCTAAAGACTTCTGTTCGCTGATCTCACAAGACAAGGATCATACAGACTTTTCCTAGACTAGACTTCTGGCACAAGTTCCACACTCAAAACATCCTAAACACTACTGTTCGCTGATCTCACAAGACAAGGATCATACAGACTTTTCCTAGACTCGACTTCTGGCACAAGTTCCACACTCAAAACATCCTAAAAACTACTGTTCGCTGATCTCACAAGACAAGGATCATACAGACTTTTCCTAGACTCGACTTCTGGCACAAGTTCCACACTCAAAACATCCTAAACACTACTGTTCGCTGATCTCACAAGACAAGGATCATACAGACTTTTCCTAGACTCGACTTCTGGCACAAGTTCCACACTCCAAACATCCTAAAGACTTCTGTTCGCTGATCTCACAAGACAAGGATCATACAGACTTTTCCTAGACTCGACTTCTGGCACAAGTTCCACACTCAAAACATCCTAAACACTACTGTTCGCTGATCTCACAAGACAAGGATCATACAGACTTTTCCTAGACTCGACTTCTGGCACAAGTTCCACACTCAAAACATCCTAAAAACTACTGTTCGCTGATCTCACAAGACAAGGATCATACAGACTTTTCCTAGACTCGACTTCTGGCACAAGTTCCACACTCAAAACATCCTAAACACTACTGTTCGCTGATCTCACAAGACAAGGATCATACAGACTTTTCCTAGACTCCGGGACTTCTGGCACAAGTTCCACACTCAAAACATCCTAAACACTACTGTTCGCTGATCTCACAAGACAAGGATCATACAGACTTTTCCTAGACTCGACTTCTGGCACAAGTTCCACACTCAAAACATCCTAAACACTACTGTTCGCTGATCTCACAAAACAAAGATCATACACACTTTTCCTAGACTCAACTTCTGGCACAAGTTCCACACTCAAAACATCCTACACATCATGCCATTGTCCTATTGTCATTTTACTGAAGCTCTTTACTGACATTTTGAATAGGAACTACAGATATCGCTGTATAATAATACATCCTGCATTTTCTTGCATTTCGTGAGTCAGTTGTCAAGTTAATTAGAGATATAATGAGGCATAATCTCATAACATAACGACACATTAGATTTGTTGGCTGGAAACTCTGCTTGAATTAATACCACTATGTTCACTGTTTATTGAAAAAATAGCCCCTTTCACTGTTGCCATAGAGACCCTATCAAGGAATTAACAATGCTGCCAATATTTTATCGGACAAAATAATTGTAATCAGTCTCCAACAGTCTTGTCGTCCAGACTGAAATGGATTAATCATCGCAATTATCTCTCATAAATCTTGATCATATTCCTTGTGGCCAGTTTATTGATATGAGGCAGCGTCTGAATGAAGGTCATCTTAACCCAACAATCTGTAACAAGCAAATATTAGCTTACTTCTGCCATGACTGATGAACAATATTACCGCTTTTTGGGGTATTGATATATTCAAATATTTAACATGTTTATAGTGAGTGAGTGAGTGAGTATGGTTTTACGCTGCATTTAGCAAGATTCCAGCATTATCACGGCAGGAAACACCAGTAATGGGCTTCACACATTGTACCCATGTGGGAAATCGAACCCAGGTCAGCGGCATGACGAGGGAACGCTTTAACCACTAGGCTACCTCACCATCCCTTACATGTTTATAGGTAAATACAATGCTATCATGCATGAACCTATCTTGCCTATACTCAGGCCTCAACCAAATGAATATATGTACATTGGATTGAAAGCAGTCTTTTTCATATATATTGACAAAATTATGTTCAGACAAGGGGGATAAGTCTATCTACCTCTTTAATTTATGGTCATTTAATTGCTGCTCTAAAATATATTCCATCTACATGCCGTTAGTCTGTAGAAAATTGCGTCTGGACCAGATGATCCAATGACTGATATCATGAGAGTTGATGTGAATGAGTGAGTATGGTTTTACGCCACTTTTAGCAATATTCCAGCAATGTCACGGCGGAGGACACCAGAAATGGGCTTCACACAATTGTGTACCCATGTGGGGAATCGAACCTGGGTTTTGGGCGTGACGAGCGAACGTTTTAACCACTAGGCTACCACACTGCCACAGAGTTGATGTGCACAAATACGATGACATGTGGTGGTGGTGGTGGTGGAATTGGGTCTAACATCGTGCTTGAGAATATTTTGCTGATATGACGACGTGCATGCGTGTGTATGTGTAGGTGCGGCTGCTTGTACTAGCCCAGACTTCAGCTGGTTTTATAGTGCTAGCCAACTGAGATACCATGCCGCAGTGAAGCATGAATACCCCACTCAGACACATTATACTGACTCCCGAGCCGACCAGTCCTTGATGTATCCATTAATGCCGAGCGCCAGGCTGGAACCAACAAGTACCATATTTTAACGTGTTTTGGTATGACGGTTGGAGATCTAACCCGCGACCTTCTGCACTCCATGCGGACGCCCTAACCACTACACCACGGAGGCGGTCACGATGGCATGTATAAACTGAGTTGCAATTGTCCAATCCCATCAGTTGCCATATACAAAGAGCATGGGTTGCTGAAGGCCAATTATAGCCTGGATGGTTATCTCCCATTTGACAGACACCCAATTGACAGACACTGAACTTGAAGGTTAATTAGGGTAACACCTACGGGTATAATGGAACAGTCCACTGTCTAGTGAGTAGAGCAGGCTGAACCTGAAACAGGTTCGTTACTGAGAAGTTTGATTGTAGGTAAATAGAACTTTGTTGTGTTTAAATGATAAATGATTTCTCTTCTCAAAAATTGTTTTTACTATCAATTACTA